TCACCTCCCTTTGCACATCCACTCCCACTCCCACTCCCACTCCTACTCCCACTCCCACTCCTACTCCCACTCCCACTCCTACTCCTACTCCCACTCCTACTCCTACTCCTGCCCCTACTCCCTTTCTCTCCTCCATCTGCCCACCACCCTCCCGCCTGCCTGCTCGACACCAGCAGCCATATCGAGCACCGCTTTTGATTTTGCTCGCCACCCTCCCCCTTCCAAGGCGTCGCAATAGGGCTAGAGGGTTTCATTCGCTTCGCCGCAGTATACTTGCACCCACGCGCTTTCTCCGGCATTTCCTCCGACACCCCCCCCCCAAAACTGCCTGCGATAGGATACCGCATCACTCGTTTCACCTTGCATACCCATTACGAATCATAACGCTTCTTTTTTTGTCACCGTCCCTCGCTCCACACTGCATCTGAATAAATAGCAGATCGCCCCAGCGCCTTTCAATCCCTCACCGCATACACTCGCTTCCATAATGGTGCCCCAATCACCAAGGGGAGACACTCCCCACCTCCGCCTCAACTCGGGCACCCAACAACCCATAACCGACGACCAACCCATACCTTCGCCCAGGCTCACAAACACGGCGCGCTCGTTGACCCAGCCAATTCGCCCAAGTCCTGTCCCCGCTGCCGGCCCCGGCTTGCAATCGCCTGGCGTGTCCCATGTCTACGCCAACGACGCCATCGCAGAGTCCTCTGAGATGCTGCTGCCTCCCTCAAGACTCAGGCCCCGCTCTTATCGCGACGAATCGCCCATGCAATCGCCCTCTGGCATGTCCTCGAGGCGGACAAGCTGGAGTTCCGACTTTACCGGAGGTCCGTTTGGCACGCCCTTTGATGACTCGAGAGCCCCGTCCCGTGCGGGAAGTGAAGAAGATTTGAACACGCAAACTGTATCCGAAAAGTTTAACATTTTGCCCTCTGCTGGACTATTGCTTTTCCCCGAGGACGTTGAAAAAGACGACTACCTACACAACCCCGACCCCAACGAAAAGGATAGGCGAGACTGCGACATTTTTACCCGAAGAGGTATGGTGAACATTGGAGGCTTGGCCGTGCTCGCCCTCGGTCTGCTCATGCTCTTCATTGGTTATCCTATCCTGTACGTTTCCATCGTTTGTCAAATCTTCTCACCGTATTGTACTGACATGTCGTTAGTACCTTTGTTGAAAATGTCACAAAACCGGTACGGGGACCATGCACAGACAACCCTCTGTGTATACCCGGCAAGCAAGACGAGCCGCTGCTCCAGAATATTCGGACAGGCCTCATCGACCCAGACACGCCCAAAGAGGCCATGACGCGCATCGGAGCCAATGGCGAGAAGCAGGTTTTGGTCTTTTCCGACGAATTCAACACTCCCGGTCGCACCTTTTACGACGGTGACGATCCCTACTTTCAGGCGGTTGATATCTGGTATGGTGCGACTATGGATTTGGAGGTAAGTCGTCGACAGAACTGGTTGTGATTGCGCCGAGCTGACGCCCCACAGTGGTATGACCCCGATCAGGCCTTCACCAAAGACGGTGTTCTCAACCTCAAATTCTCGGCTGAACCGAGCCATGGCCTCAATTACCGCTCGGGTATGATTCAATCGTGGAACAAGCTGTGCTACAAGGGCGGCCATCTCGAGGCCAGTATCTCCCTCCCCGGAAAAGGCACTGTTAGTGGTTTCTGGCCTGGTTTTTGGACCATGGGCAATCTTGCCCGTCCAGGTTACCTCGCGTCTACAGAGGGACTCTGGCCGTACAGTTACCACGACAAGTGCGATATTGGCATCACGCCCAACCAAAGTTCCTACGACGGTCTCAGCTACCTGCCCGGCATGAAGCTTCCTGCTTGCACATGCACGGGAGAAGATCACCCTTCTCCTGGTAAATCTCGTAGCGCGCCGGAAATTGATGCTCTAGAAGGCTCGGTCCACTTTCTGGGTCCTGGAGAGAGCAACTCGGTCGGTGTTGTGTCTCAATCTTTCCAGGCTGCTCCTTTTGATATTTGGTACCAGCCAGACTATGGTAATGACTGCAGTCGCTCGATGCCTGTACAACTGCTAACACATGGCAGACTACGTGGAACTGTACGATACCTCGATTACCCAGATGAACGCCTACAAGGGTGGACCTTTCCAGCAAGCAATCTCTGGTTTGACCAACCTGAACAACGATTGGTACGACGGCAAGCAATACCAGACGTACTCGTTTGAATACAAGACTGGCAGCGACGGCTTCATTACGTGGTACGTTGGACAGGACAAGACCTGGACCATGACTGCCCCGGCTACCCGTGCCAATGGCAACGTCGGCACGCGGACTATCCCCGAGGAACCTCTAGCAATCATTGCAAACTTTGGCATGTCGAACAGTTTCGCAGCTATCAACCTGGACGAAATCGCCAAGGAGCTTCCGGCTACCATGCGCGTAGACTACATTCGCATCTACCAGCCAGAGGACAACCAGATTGTCACTTGCGACCCTGACGGCTACCCCACGACTGAATACATCAGGACACACCCTGAGCCTTATGCCAACCCCAACCTTACCGACTGGTAAGTCGCGACATTGCCATGAATCCAGCCATTGCTAACATGTAACAGGAAATCTACCCCCTATGACTGGCCCAAGAACTCGTTCATGGATGGCTGCAAGTCCTGAGTTCCCATCTTTCCAGGATAGGGACTGCCGGGTGCCGGTCCCTAACGATTTCCTTATATCGACTAACTAACGTGGCCACGCCAAACGACAATACCCACACAGAATGGATTCCCTTGTAAAAGCACACAGTATAGACCGTTTCATCCTTCGACTTTTTCCTAAGCCGTGAGTGTTTTGCGCGGAGCCTGGGGCGTTTTATCTCGCATTCGACCTGATCGCCAACACACGGACGGAAATTCAATGGCGTGCGCACGTCTTCCCAATACCCAGGATCTGCACCCGCAATTCTCCGTGCAGTCTCCGCGGCAATGCTCACTCGCCAGCTACTTCGAAACCAGTTCTCCGTCCATCTATCAACACAAATTCGGCGGCGCCGGCGTCTCTTACTTCGCATACTTCACCGGCGCGTCTCTGTATATCATGGCATCTGTTCTATTATGCATCACATGCATTCGGCATTTTGCACGTTTCAAGACGGTTGTTCTTTTTTTTTCTTTTTTTTTCCTCGGGATCGGAAGGAGTTGCTAGGCGCTACTGCTCCCGATTACGAGTACCCTTATCTGTTGATTGCTTCTGCCACTTGTAATGCACTTCTTCTTACTTCTTCATTCGGTTGTTTTGTTTTGTTGTCCATTGATGGAAAACTGTCCATGACAGCGACAGTGCGATATCGGTTCAACAAGTAACAAAAAATGGCGGTGTCTTTTTTTTCTTCTTCTTTTCGTTTTTTGTTGTTTGTCTTAGCTTTTCCTAGGTTGGATGCGGGCAGGTTGGTGTGCCTTTGTTGGAGCTTGGGAGTAATCAAGGGCAAATCAATCAATAAACGGGAGGGGGATTGTGATGATGGGATGAGGCGTGTTTTTTCGATACCTTGAGCGTTGTTTTAATGTATAGCCAAAGAGTGGAAGGGGAAGGAAGATGGCGTCATAGGCCACAAGGCCAAGCAAGAATGGATTTACTGTAGACTGCCTGTGGGGAGAGTAAAAAAAAACAAAGCATTTGTATATTCGCATTGACTGGACAAACGTAGTATGTAGATGATGGTACACATGAGAAACAGAACTGGTGTGAGGGACATGGAAAGGAGAGAGAGAGAGAGAGAGAGAGACAAAGACCATGTGTATCAGTCTCTTTTCCTTTCTCTTTTTTCCCTTTCCTTTCCTTTCCTTTCCTTTCTCCCCCTCAGCCATGTATGAAAACCAAGACAAAGGTCCTTTCCCCCCCCCCTTTTCTCTCTCTCTCTCTCTCTCTCTTCCTTTTTTCCTTTGAACATGTGATGGAATTATTTTTTTTTTCTAAAACGGACATGCATGTGAAATGTGAAGATGTAAAGGATAAGACGGAAGAAGCAGAAGCAGAAGAAGAAGAAGAAGAATAGAAAGAGATAGAGAGATAGAGATAGAGATAGAGATAGAGAGAAGAGAAAAGAAAAGAAAAAAGTAATTCTGGGGGCGTTTTAAAACGTTGTTCGTATCTAATCTATTTGCTTTCTTACTTGTTTGTTTTTTTCTTTGTTTGTTTGTTTGTTTGTTTGTTTCTTGGTTGGGTTTTGTCTATACTTATACTTATACCTCTATATGTGTCTATGTCTATGTCTATGTCTATGTACGTATATGCCTTGTAGCGTGTCATTTTTTCTCTCTCTCTCTCTCTCTCTCTATTATGAATGGATGGATAGATAAATGTCTGTTGTTCGTAATTTTTACTTGATGAAATAACATTCCTTAGAGCCTCCAAGGAGCTGATAAATGGACAAAGTTAGTTGACCCAAGTTCCGTGAACAAGGCTACATATATATATATATATATATGAGTAACTAAAGTCACGTGTTTCATGTCGTGTCCAATCCGTCCACTATTGATGAATAAGTTTGAATTTTGTTTTTATTTTATTCTTCTTACATCTGTCGTGTCAAGTACTCTACTTGGTTGTTATTGATCAAGAAAATGATGCATGTTTCCTACATTCCAAAGTCTACACCTCAACCCTCTTAAACGAAAGCATCTTGGTAGCATCGGGGCCGCACTGCTTGCCATGCTCAATCTGGGGGTAACGCTCCGTCTCGCCATTGGGCATCTTGATGTCGTACTGGAGCAGGAGGCGGGCGAGGACCATTTTGATTTCGTTTGTGGCGAAGAAGCGGCCGGGACAGGCGTGTCTGCCGTAGCCAAAGGCGAGGTTGGTTTCGTTTGTCGTGACAAACTGGTTGCGGGCAATGTCCTGGGCCTTGCCGCTCGCACACTGCTTGTACGAGCGGTAGCCGTCGAAGCGGTCGGCGGATGGGTAAAAGGTTTCGTCGCGGTAGATGGCAGATGAGGGAACTTCGATCATGACGCCTTGGGGGATGTATTGGCCGTTGCTCAGCGAGAAGCCTTTTTTGGCGTAGCGAGTGAAGGATGCTGGGGAGAAGACGTTCGTGTTAGTATCAGGGCTACGCTTTGTGCCAGGCTTGTGTGGTACTTACTCATTAAAGGTGGGTTGAAGCGCATCACCTCCTTCATGTAGCTGTCGAGCTTTTCCATTTGCTGGAGTGCGCGAGACGTAATGACCCCATCGTTGGCCGCCAGAACGTTACGGATCTCGTCGCGGAGTGGTTCAATATACTCTGGCGTGGTAGCGAGCGTGTACAGGATGTTGGTGGCAGTTGTGGTTGTGGTGTGAACTGCACCAAAGATGATTGAGAGCTGGTATCCAATGAGTTGTTCGACAGAGTCGTTCCCGTTGCTCTTGTTGAGCATCCATTGCAAAAGGTCGTCTGGCTCCTGCCAGTTGGGGTCGTTGGCTTTGCTGTTGATTCTCTCCTCGATTAGGGGTCTTAGGACTTTTTCGGCGAGCTTCTCGCGTTGTCGAAGCTTGATGACCTCTGGCGTGCGCGATCCCAAGAACGGTTTCAGCCACGGTCGCATCTTTTTGAGAGCAGTGACAGCATTCATTAAATCCAATGTGTAGCTGCATGCGGTGTCAAGGTACTCGGGATCTTGACATGTCTCTGGGCCGACAAAGATACGCCCCGAGACTTTTGCAACAAGAAGGACTAGCTTTTCGTAGATGTTGACTTGAGTCCAGTCTTCACATGGCGGCATGCCCTGCCTCAGTGCTGCATCAACCTCATTGCAAATGGTCGGGTTCAACCGGGCTAGAAGGGCATCAGCAAAACTAGCTTTTGAACAGCGTCTCTGGAGACGCACTTAGCGCTGGCGTAAGGTTGGCCTTGATGGTAGTAATGGACGTAGAACTACCTGTGTCCAAATGCGTGTGAGCTACTTCCATTATCTGCTAGCGGTTAGCCCGAGCATTCACCGAGGGAAACGGTTCACTTGCTCCTCTAATGGCCTCCTGGAAGTCGACGACATCGTCGGGTAATTTTCGCAGTTCTGGCAGGAGGCTTGGAGGAATAATGACAGTGGGTACCCCTGCAAAGATGTGAGCAAGGACAAAAGCGCAGTTTCCAGCGGGAGCCAGCCTACCATCCTCATTTAAGAGTGCGTAACAACAGTCGTTGAACTGCAATGGCGTGAGTAATAAGCGTTATGCGGGAGCGCGACGATGTTACTCTAGCGTATCCCTTTTCGTAAATCATTCTGGCTGACGAGAGAAATGTCTGGCGGTACTTCTCGCCCGTTCCGAATTCGCTCATATTGGGAATCTTTGCAAGCTGCAGTGTGCGTCGCATCGTGGGCCATAGGGCATATGCTGCGAAGACGAGGGCAGCGATGCCCGTCGTCTGCAGCAACTGCAATGCTTTTGCCGCTGTCGGCGGATCCATGGTGGCGGGGTCGGGTCGCGTGGACCAAAAAGAGCGTCAGGTGGTGAGATTGTGGAATCAAGTCGAGATGTTGCAGGCGTGGTGGTGTGGCGAAGCTGGCTCCAGAGGAAGGAGAGGCCTCGCTTGACAGGAATGCTTCCCCGCTGTCGCTAGCTTTTATCACACTGCGTACAGCACGGCCAAGGCTCCAGCGACAAATGCTGTGCACGAATGCGATGTATACGGTGTATACGGGCTATACGGCTCGTAGCTCGGGACGGGTCTGCGCGATGGATCTGCGTAGAGCCGCGTCGCTGCCAAGTTGACTGTCGCGTTTCATCCGCCGTCGATCCAATCAGCGGGCATGCAATACGGCTCGAGACGCTGCGGCCCACACGAACGCACCAGGCCTCGCAGACGACTGTCCAGGCATATGCATGTCAAAGCGAGTAATGAGAAACATGCGCCCACGGTCGGGGAAACGAGGCTTGGTGGAGCGAGGCGTGATGGAGCAAGGCTGGCTAGCCCCAGAGTATGAGCTTGCGGCTCACGTCAGTTCCGCCTCCCGAGCTCGGCCGACTTCCTCGATGGTGACTCATCCACTCGAACCATATCAAATCCCTGCAATCAGATGCGTGGCAGTGTTGCACGGTGACTTGCATTGCTACTCAACAATATCGCTCCAAGTACGTATCCTACAGCTTCTCAGCAAGCACCATTGGCCCGGCAATCTCGTCTCGCTTTTCCTTGCCGCCAATCACCTCGACAATCGTGAGGGCAAACAGCATGGCAGTACCAGGCCTATATACATGGTCAGCACCTTCACGTGGTATTTCAAACAGCACCACCTACCCTCGACTCGTAATCACCTTGCCGTCAACCACCAATCTGTCTTCACTGTACTGCCAGCCAGCCACCTTGACGTCCTCGGCCACACTCGGATGACTGGTAACTCTCTTCTTCTCGCTCTCAAACTTCTTCGCCGAAGCCACCAACACAGTCGTAGCCGCACAAATCGCCGCCACCCACTTTCCAGCGCTGCCGAAGTTGTTGATTAGTTCCAGCACGGCATCACTCTCGCAAAACGCCTTGGACCCTGGCCCGCCCCCCGGAAGAACAAGCACGTCAAAGTACTCGTGCGCAGTCTGTGACGGCACAGAAAGCAGCTGTGGATAGTCGGGCACAATACGGATATTACGTGACATGCTACGATATGCCGTCCGGTTAGCAAAAAAACCGCCATTTCCTTGGTCAACCCATCCGAGTGACTGACTGGGCAAATGTCTCGTTCTGAAGCGACACACCAGCGCTTTTGACCTCGAACCCCGCTCGAGTCAAGACTGCAGCCATACATCAGCATCTTCAACGCCATGCCTCGCCTGCTACTCGCAGTCATCCAGGCATACCATCGTAAGGCGTGACAAACTCAATCTCCTCCGACCCATCCGCCACCAGTATCAAGGCTCTGGGCATCTTGGGGCCGACAATGTGATTTTCGACAAAAGTTGAACAAAACTCGATCAAGTCTGCGGGAATGAATTACCCATTAGCGGCCAAGCTCCAATGTAAGCTGATCAGGTGCAGTGTGCAGTCTAGAAGAACGTCGTTGAAAGAGACTCAGCTTTACAAGTCAGCGTGACGTATGCTGACATTCTGACGAGTGAGCAAGACCCACCAAAACTGGGGGGGGGGGCTTCGGCACCAACATCCGGCCAACTGATCAGGCGCCGGGTTGTGATTCCTTACAAGCAACCACACAAGTCCTTGTTTACAAGTCAACCTGCCTATACGCAGCATGCACGCCCGTTTCCCGTAAACAATTAGCCCTAAATTCATCAAGGAGATTACAAAACTAGCTAGAAAATTATCTTATGTACATGTGCGCCAGTGTGCTATCCAATTGCCTATCCTACCCGCACAAATTTGCCCCGTGTGCACAAAGCGCCAAAAGCCCATCCCGCCATCATAGACACCACAATGTGCCAGATGCCTAGCCATCTTGTATGCATCGCGCATTCCAGGATATCTCTCATAACCTCATACAGTGAAAAAGGCCACTCCCAAGATGCGACGCCCATGCATCCAAAGGCAGCCGTGACCGGCCTCTATCCACGTCTCTCTTTCTCTTCGTCGTGAGACATTAGAGCGCTATACAGCTCGATGGAGCGCCTGCCTCCTCCATCTGCCGACCAATAAAAAATCAAACAGGGTATGTCAGAAAACAGAAAGCGGGTCCATGTCTATCGTTGCAATACATCGAATTGCGCAAGGCAGAGGTATCAAAGGCAAATAAAAGCCAGCTAAAAGTCGAGCAGACGGCCTCACAAGCCGCCTTCTCTCAAAAAACTCCAAACACCAGATTCATCGACTCAAAGGAAACAAGCGCAGGTCATGACAAGGTCCCAAACGGTTCCGAGAGGGCATGTTCGGGGAGCGGTCCGAGGTGGGGAGACTGAAAAGACACATGCCGTCATCACAAGCTCATCGTCAGCCATTCCTGCACAATAATTGTTAGCATGTGATACCGTGATCTAGACATGTGTGTGTGTGTGTGTACGTACCCATTCAGCAGGACCAGATGACTGCAAACCCTGGCCCATGGCGCCCATGGGAAGGGCCCCAAGATTTTGCCCTGGAAAAGGACTCGAAGTCGCAATGGCAGTATCCTTTCTGCGCAATGGCGCTCGTCCACTCGTGTCGTCGGCGTCGGCCATTTCCAGTTCTTGCGACTCGCTTTTGCTCTGCCCACGACTTCGCTTGGGTGCAACGGCGACACCACGCGACTGAGCCAGCACGACCGAGCTGTTCGACTTGGGAGGGCCCGGCGCAATCGGGACCACACCGCTCGGTTTGGACGACGTGGGCGTTGTAGCAGAAGACAAGTTGCTCGAGCCCCCACCACCTGACCCGGTCGATTTTGGAGACTCGGAATCAGCTGCCTTGTGCGACGTGGGGGTCGTGACTGGTGTGTGGGCAATCGAATTCTTACGAGACGATTTCTTCGACGAGCGCGTGGATGACGCACCAACGGGCGCGTTGCCACTGCCACGATTGCGCTTCTTGATCACGTCCGTCTTGAGCGACAAGGGTCGAACAACACCATGCAGCTTTAAGAATAGGCCACATGCATTGCAGAGTGGATGCCCTTCGGGGTTACGGCGCCAGAGCGGTGTCGTCTGCGTGAAGCAATTGGTGCACGTCGTGGGCGCACCGCCTTCGCCCTGTTTTGTGCCACCAGGGCTTTGAGGCCGCGATGGGGCTGCAGAGTTGAATCCAGACTCTGGGGGAGAATTTGGCGATGACACCAAGCCATGCATGCCCTGATGCACCATTCCAGCAGCGTTGGGGGTCGAGCTGGTGCGGGGTATTTTCTGGCGTCGTGGATCGGTCCCTCTGTTGCGTATGTCGCTTACAGAAGCGGCCGAGCCATGGGTCCGCCCAAGGCTGCCCCCGGGACTCCAATGATCTTGCGGTGAGTGAACCAATTCCGTCCCACCAATGGTGACGGTTTTACGCGGCGGCCCAGCGGGATAGCGCGCTTGCATGGGATTAAACTGGTTGGATAGATTTGTTTCCCACTGATATCCAGTATTGAAGTCGATGGAGCCGTCGTCCATTTGCGAGTAGTCGTGCTGGGGCAGGGTGCGGTCGGCAAAGGCACTTCCTTCATCGTCCTCGGCGTCCGAATCAGCGCCAAAGGTAAACATGTTTTCCTGGCGTCCCATTTGCATCTCGTGTTGCTGGCGCAAGGGTAGGTTATTGTGCAGCACTTGAGACGGATCAACGTGGTTTGATTGGCCAAACGACGAGGCTGAGAAGGGCAGCGATGAGCTTGCGCTCGTCACGGGGCTGAAGATGGAGTCCTGTCCGCCGGCTGCAGGGTTGAACATGTACTGTGGTTGCATCGACGTCGATAGGTTGGAGGGCCGGTGGGGGCCGTATCCCGAGGCGCCGTGCTGTGAGGTGCGGATATCCAAGCCGCTCCGGTCAAAGTACATTTTATTGTCTTCTGGGATGGGCTGCGGGGTCGAGACATTAGAGGGGAAGGCGGAGCTGGGTGGCGAGTAGTAGTCGGTTGAGTTGAGGGACGAGGCCATGGAGTTGTGGTTAAACATGTTGGAGTTGAAGGCGTTGTGGCTCATGAGGGGCGAGCCGACGGGAGAGAAGCCCGAAAACGTCTGCTGGTAGGGCCCGGCCGAGTGCACGACGGGATCCTCGTGCATCTGGAACGTGTCTATGGAGAAGGGGCCTTGGCCTTGACCCTGGGAGGCGGGGAAGGGCGGCGGCTGCATGGTGTTGTGGTCCAGCGAGTAGTGGTGTAGGTCGGCCTCGGCGTTGGCATCGGTGGGTATCATGATGCTGTTGACGGGAGGGACCAGAGGAGAAGCTTCTGCGCGGCGCTTGGGGGGCTGATAAGGCGTTAGTGAGGCCGGCGTGTGGAGGAGAGAGAGAGGGAGAGGGAGAGAGAGTGTGTGTGTGCGTGTGCGATAGAGAGAGAGAGAGAGAGAGAGCGCGCGCGGGAGGGAGGAAGGGAGCGGGAGGGCGGGAGGGCGGGAAGCGCGAGGCGCTGGCACAAGAGAGAGGGAGCGGGAGAGTGAGAGTGAGAGTGAGAGTGTGAGAGAGAGATAAGAGACTACTTACTCGTCGCTCGTCGATGCTGGTCTTGCGGACGTGTCGTGGGATGTAGTCAAACTCATCCTCCCTTTTGATGGCAGGAGGCACCGAGGGCGCAGATGCGCGGGCGAGGGACAGGTTATGGTCGCTGGCTAGATGCGGCTTCCTTATCGGTATCGCTGGGGCTGTTGCAATAAATGGAGCCGCATCCTCATTCGACACTTCGGGCGATAGGCCGGCAGGACTGCCGACCGACGAAGGAAATATAAAATCATCCAGATTCATGGCGTCGTGCGTCTGTTGCTGGTGGTAGTGGTGGTGGTGGTGGTGGTCGCCGTGGGCCTGGTGGTGGTCCTGCGACTTTCGCAACTGCTGGGCAATGCCGCTTGGGGCGGACCTGGGCGGCGGTCTTGGGCTGGTGGTGGTGGTGGTGGTGGTGGCTGCTGGCGGGGGCATCATGTCGCTGCTCTGTGTGTTCTGGCCCGGCCTGCAGCAGAAAACAATGGTTAGCAAAGGTGGTTGAGGAGAGGGCAGGCTGGTAGCGGCGCAAAAGCAAAAGGGCAGCGTGCGTACCCTTTATTGCGATCCATTTCGGCGCGGCGCATGTTCATGGCCATCATTCGCCATGTCAGGTTCTCCATGCGCTCAGCATTGGGCAACTGTGTCTTTGCTCGTGAGTAGAGTTTCCATATTTGCGTGCCCAGCGGGTCGTTCTTCTGCATCTGCTCTGGTGAGTCTGCGTCTGGGCCCGGGGCGCCCGCATCGTTGCCGAATGCTGGGAATATGGCGTCCTGGAGCACACCCCGGCGGGCCGAGTCTTGGGCAGAGGAAATCTCCATGGCGCCGTCTGGCTCAGCAAAGTCCATGGAAATTTGGACGGGGGGAATGGAGCCCTGGTCTTGAGGGGGTGGTGCGTGTGGGCGTGGTGGGAATTGCTCGCTGAGGAAAGACGATGATGTAGCTGGGTCGGCGCGTGCTCTGAATCGGATGGGCGCACACCCCACGTTAGCTGCGGCCCTCAGCTGCAACCACAGCCGAAGTAGGCCCTGCAACAGTGGGTAAGTGGTGGTGGTGGTGGTCGTCGTAGTGTATGTATAGACAGGGCGCGGCGGGTGTGCAGCAGGGCAGCGTGGGCAAGGGTGAGGGTGAGGGTGATGGTAATGATGATGGTGGTGGTGGTGGTGGTGGAAGCAGCAAGCAGCAGCCGCGGTCGCTGGACACACGGATGAGCTGGTCTTGGAGCGGTTCGGCGGGCTCGACGACGGGGACGTATGGTCGATATGTTACGGGCGCCAGTGAGCGGCGCAATAATTCCAGCGCAGCGGCTTTCAAGCAGCAGCAGCAGCAACAAGAAGCAGCAGCACATGCGACGGCTACGGCGACGGCAGCAGCAGCAGGGGGCGCTGGGTGGGGCGTGAGTCGTGACGCTGGGTTGCTGGGTTGCTGGGTGCTGGGTGCTGGGTGTGCTGGGCGTGTGGGAGAGAGAATGAGATGCATTTGGTGGAGCGTTCGGCACCCACGCAGGCCCCCACCATGGCACGGCCGCGTCGCCAATCACGCGTGCAGCGAGGGTGACGGCGTCCCTAGTCGATACCTCGACCGCAGCCGGGGATGCTGTTTGGGGCGTTCTCTTCCCCCTCGACATGCGGCAAGCCCCCCCCCTCCACACTGGGCGTGCTGGTGCAAAGGCAAAGGCGCACGATGCACGCCTCTCAACAGCAATCTCCGGCTGCCCACACGACCCCCCCTTCGCTCGCCTGCTCGCTCGCGCTCTCCCCCTAGCCGCCCCCAGCTCGGGCGGCACATGCACCGGGCGTGGCGTGGGCGTGGGTGTGTACATGTATAGTACAGAATAGGCGTGGGCGTCGTCGGTCGTCGTGTCGGCGGCGGGTGGGCTGAACGGCACAATGAATGTTTGCCTTGCGACTTAGCATGCAGGCCCCGGTCCGTAGCAAGACCGCCTGAACCGTGCAGCTCCTACACCTGGGAATCCTGGCCTACGGGCTCGGGGCCATTGGGCCTCTCTGCAAAGCTTCGCGGGAGGTTTTTCTCTTTTTTTTTCTTCCCTCTGCCCTCGCGGCAATTCTGGCCACTGACCAGCTGCCGCGCTGACCAGCCACCTGGTTGCTGTCCTGTCCACCTACGTACACGCATACACACACGCACGCTACATACGTACATGTACACACACACACACACACACACACACACACACACACACATTATACTACGTACATATACACACACACCTGGAGAGTGCAGCGTGTGTGTGTGTGTGTGCGTGTGTGCGTGTGTCTTGTGCCTCGACGTCACTGTGCTTGCGGCCGGCATGCGCCTCGCTAAGGTTCCCTATTCCTCCCTCGACCTGACAAGTGGTGGGCACGCCGCTGCGCTCCACCGCGACAGACGAGGCGCAAAAGCTTACGCGAATAGCCAACGGCACTGACAGCTGTTCCATGGGTCGGCCTGCGACGTCGTCGTCGTTGTCGCCCTCTGACCGCCAATAATAGCGTGCAGCAGCTCGTCTAGAGGCGTCAAGCACCAGTGTGCGCCCGTCCGTGGCTTTTTTTTTTCCCTGGGGGCAGGTGTGCCTTGCCGCACTGCGCAGAATGGCCGCTTGGCGCCGCACCCACCCAAGCCCCGACTGGCAATCTCCTCACGGTGCCTACATGCTACATGTACGTGGTATACATGGTATACACACGAGCACAAACTGCACTCGCCCTGCCGGCTGCCTGCCACGACGACGGCGCTGCCACTGCCGCGTCCCATTCTTCTTGGTCTGCTTCTCCCGCCTGTCGAGGCCCTCATCCGAATGTGGCCGGAACGCGTGCGCGGCGCTCGACGCTCGGCACTTCCGTTCCTACATTTCCCGGCCAGCCTCACTCGTCTCAGGGTCTGTTGTTTGCCAGGCCCACCGCGACCGCTAGCCTCGACGTTGGGGCCCACCGCCCATACCGCGCCAGCACGTGGCGGCATCCCCTTCGGGCCAGGTATCGACGTACACTGCCCACACGCCATCCACGCCATCCACCCTCGATGGCTGCCTACACACACGCAGCTTCACCTCTACACTTGGGAAGCCCTCAACAGCATCCACTTGCCCCAGCAGACCCATCCGCCCTTCCTTCCTTCCTTACTTGCCTGCCTGCCTGCCTGCCTGCCTGCCTGCCTGCCCCTCCCACCCTGGAACGGCGGCTCCTTCCACCCGCATCCTACATGTACATATTGCTGCACTGGCACCACACCACCCACAACCCACAACCCACAACCCCATCCCAGCGTGCCACCATGAGAGCATCAGCATCCACACGCGCACCACACGCCCGCTGCCGCAGTCGAGCAACCCGTGGGGGCGGTCGAGACGCGGGCTGGGAATGTAACGGTTACCCAGGCTGTGGAGAGAAGGAACACCAGGTCGCTGGCCATGGCATGGAGCCTGCCATTGCAGTCAGGCTCGTCGGCGGTGGTTGTTGCTCTGAATGTCTACAGTAGACCTAGTCTACTGTAGACATGCTGTGACCCTGCGGCCCTGCGACCCTGCGACCCTAGCCCAGACAGGGAATCCGCGAGACAGGGGTGGCGCTCTAGGTGTAGGCAAAAGACGCTGACGCCAAAAAGTCAACCGCCAGTGAATCAGAGGCAGCGTCAGGGTCCTTGCATCGTCATGTCATGTCATTGCATTGCTGGGCGACCCAGAGAACCACTACCCGCGCACGTGACACGCAGTCACGGGAAGGCTCTGCGTGGTCGTCTTGGCTGCGATCATTGAGCGTCGGATAGTGTACAGATCGACCGACCAGTCTACGTACTGCCCATGCTTAGCTCGCGTGCCTTGTCCAGCTCCAGCTCCAGCTCCCGCTCCAGCTCCACGACAAGGACGTCAGATTTAGCCGCCAACGGCTCTTCTATCAGACGGCAGCGCCGCCGTGGTAATTGGTGGCTCCATGGCTCTCGAGACGTTTTGCTTTTCGCATCCAACAGCGCCCCCACCCCAATTTGCCCAAGTGCAAGCACGCACCTGGGCCAAGGGTCCTGGGGCCAGCAATATATCGATCTACATGTACCTACAACCACAGCCGTCTGAGCATGGCATTACCTCGGGCGCGACTCGTCTGCCAACCGCGAGCGGCCGTCTTCGACGTCGCGCGTCGTCGGCTAATCTGGAGCCAGTCGTCTAGATCCCGGCTGTCCACTGCAACCGAGTTTCACATGCGAACCCATACCACGGCCTGCCAGGCCAGTCGCAACGGAGGTGGAGGGGGGGCTAGTACTACACACATACACGTAGCTTCGCAGAGCCTGCTGGGCTATTTTGCCTTTGTCCAATTCCACGGCGGCCACAGCGCTCCGACTGGCAGTTTACTCATCAGCAGTAGAGGCATGCAGGCAGGGTTCGCTCGATATTGGGAAGAGTATGCCCCCACGTGCCTTGCCCCAAAAGGCGTAGGCGGTCAGGTGCCTCCCCTGTCGCATGCAAGCCTCCAAAAACGCCATTTGCTTCTGCTTCTGACTTGCATGCACGTGCAGGCATGGCGAGCCTAGATGCCCTGCTAAACCCGACTCAACCCCGTCTAACCTCGCCCGTCGCCGCACTGACGAGCGCAACCACGCTACACACACGCTGTCGTTGCTCAACACAAAGCACTCGTCCTGTGCTATGCTGCATTTCGCGACGTCCCATCTTGCCTCAACTCATCCTACTACGCGCCATCCTATGTCGCAATCACCAAGCCCATGCTCGGCGCGCCCCCCCCCTTTTTTTTTCTCCCAGGCGTCGGCGGCAATATCCGCCGCCTCTATGCAGTGTCTGGGCCTGGTGCAGTACCAAAGTCGGCACACACACTCACACACTGACCAACCGCTGCAGCCGCCGACAGTCAACAACACAGCCTCCCCTCGACGCATAACGGATGCACGTTTCCCTTCTTCTGTCAAGTCGAAACGCCTCGCCGCGGGTGGCCAAGGTTCCATGTCGCATGCTTCGATACGAGACGCGGGATGTCCGTGGGGGTCGAGTACGTGATTCATTTAGGCCGTCGTATTATATGGATAATTCGGGGAAAAGGCCCTTGATCGTCCCCACGACACCGCCTGGCAAAAGATCCACAGTTGGGCGCATAATGGTCAACCATCGACGGCTCGTCCTGTGGGCTACAGCGGGAAAGGGTCCTGATCGTGTGCCCGTTGCCGTAGGCTGACGTGGAGGGCCTCACGTGCTCTGCCCTCCGAAGCCCGTTACTCGTTGGTCAGCCTTTGGTCAGCCTCCATGTATACTGTATGCGGTCGCTCCATTGCCCTTGTTGCTATAGTCGACCTAGGCAGTGGCAATGGTGCCGTCCTGGTGTGACGTCGACGTGATAAGTTCCACCGGGCTTGGGTACTTGCTTCGGTCAATAAGGCCGATGCATGAAATGGGCTGCGCACTTGGACTTGCAACTGCAAATCAAATGAGCATGCAGGTCCAAGGGGAGCGAGAGGCCTCCTCGGTCAACACACAATGCTTCTTGGGTCCATCCTCGAGCGGCTCATGTCTCTGTCCTGGCCAAGCTCAGTTGGAAAAATAAAATAAAAAATAAAACAGGGCTCGTCCTGCTCGCGGTGCGTCCTCGTGGCTCCCTTGGCGGAAAAGGCGTTGCAAACAGCGCGCGGCAACAGTGCAGCGGAGCGGATCGTGAATCGGCACGGGACTGGAAGGGGAGCCAGCTGCCTCCCAGCCCAGAAACGCAATGGCGGTACACGGGACTTCTTATACAGGCGCGCAGGGTCTCGAGCCGCCAAACCAAGGTCGCCATGCGCGCGCGCGTGTGTGTGACACCATCAAGCGTTATCGTTGCGCGATTGATAGCGTTACGTTTAGTGGTGCTCGTACCACGATGCCCTTTCAGCCTCACAAAACCTCCTTTATTCACCGTTCAAGCGACCAATGACGCTCCAAGACGCCGTCCAGCGTGGTCGGTTTGGGTGCAGTCGGAATATCTAGCGAGGAGCTGGCCTTCCTATTGCGGACGTGAAACAGAGATAGACTATCTCTCGGTAGCTTATCTGACGCAGGCCATGCTATACTGCGGCTGTGCACGATGCAATGAGCGACGTTTGGCTGCCGCTGCCACGCCCACTGGCGAATCAACACAGTCGATAAGGAGAAGCAGACCCTGCATCGTGCTGAGCGAGCGAGACTGTGCTTTTGCTACTATCAACTGCCTGTTGCTTGTGCAATGATAGCTGGCCTCGCCGTCGGCCAGTGGAGTAAGCCGAGCCATCGCACTGGCACCGTGGATGATCGTCTGCCATGGCACTCAACAGGGTTGCCCACCCCACAGCATTCCGGGGCGCCGACAATGGGGGAGAACCCGCCATTTTTATATCGTGAATCTGAGTACATTGCTGGGGCGCCTACACGATTCATCCAACCCTCCCCCTCCAAATGCACCGTCGATCCACGAATCCTCCGGCCGTGTTCCCTGCATCCTCTGTCGCTATACCTGAGCAATTCAGCATATGCCATCCTTCTAGTGTCATCCCCTTGCTGACAACCACGCTGCCTCTCCCGCGGGGACTGGGATATGGCCGCGCCCCGTATCTCGTCTTCCGTATTTGCGTGACACAACTTTTGCCCCGCAGGCTATCGCCTTGCAGTCTTGATACCCTGGGTCTGACGCGGCGCTTGGTGTCGTTGGTGGCATACTCGGTACCGTCGCTGTGCGGCTTTTTATTCATCTCAGTCCCTTCCCTCTCTCTTTTCGTCCCCTGCTCCGCCACCCTTGACCGTCTCTTCACCCAGCACTTTGCTCGCCGCCATGAAGCTACATCGCCAGCATTAGTCTTCGCCCTTCCCATGACCTGAGCCCGTCGCCGACTTACATGGCACCACAGTAACCGCCCAAGCCCCGGATATCCTGTGCCTGACCCGCCGTCATACGCACCAAGCTCTCGAGGTCCGCCATATTCGCCGTCAATTGTGCCAGTTGCGCCTGGAGGTGGGAGAGCTGCCGCGGCTTTTGCGACGGTACCGTGCTGAGGCGCGAGCCGCCTGGAGTGTGGGAGCGTGGGACATTCGACATTGCAATCGGAGCAGAAAGCGAATTCTGCGGGGGATACACGTCTAGGGCGAACGGGTGGTCAGTGTCGTTGCGGTTGCGGTTGCGGTTGCGGTCGTGGTCGTGTTTGTTGTGGGCGTCGAGGTGGGGAAAACGCGTTCGCTTTGCGGCGTGGTGGGACTCCCGCGGCCAGCAGGCTTGGCGATTTGGTCGCATCTCCACCCGGCCTCGACTTTTCTGCGGTCTCGACTCTGGCGCCGCTATGCACCACCACTAATCCCTTGTCGTACTGTTGATTGCCCAGACCACTCCACACGCAACCATGGCCACTCTTCAGACTGTTCGTCGCTGGATCATGACCGGCGCTGTTGCTGCCATTACCGTCACCGGGACCATCTACGGCGCGGGACTGAAGGGACAACAGGAGCTTAAGCAGGTATGTGGATTTTTTTTTCCATTCGTACTAGGGATCTCTCGTGCATGTTCCATGTCCAGCCGGATCTGGCCCCGGGCCTCCAACAAGCCCTTGCGCTAATACTGTGTCTTGTAGCAAAAACGCCAGATCCTCCAAGCCACACCGGAAGAGCGAATCGCCCAGCTCGAGGTCACGCGCGCCAATCTAGTACTAAAGAGAAATGAAATGGAGAGGAAGATTGCCATGATTGCGGAGAAGAGGAGGGCAAAAGCAGAGGGGCAGACGGATGGCAGATGAGAAGTTGGACACAGAAAGGTTGGACTTGACTATACTGGTAAATCAGCGAGGAAGGACTTGAATTCCTGGCAACGTTTTGGTGCTATGGAAAACATTCCATCTTGGGCCATGCCACTCAACCATGCCTGAGAGCAGAACGGACAGCGCGAGCACGCAGACGACTTGGGCGTAATACGTAACACTGTTCGCCAACTCGCGGTACTGATATACTACTGCACTCTCTACTGCGACGCCCCACAGCCATATTAAAAAACTGTATTGGTCTCTGGAGCTGGTGTAAATCCTACAACATCCATTCCAATCAGCACACATTGAACATCTCACTGGGTTATTGCGACTAAAATAACCCTCCACCAGGGCGCTTCCCGTCGCAGCGTCAGCAATTCAAAAGCACACCTAGGAAGATAGCTCTACATTCGCATTAGCTGCATATATTCCTTCACAAAAATGTCAAACAGCATGCCGCTTACTAGTCATGGCCCCATCGATTCATTGCAAATGCGTTCCGTCACTTCAGCCGCGGAACGAACCCACCGTACCCCCTCCAAATGTCGATCTTGACTAAACCCACCTGTTGCTCTTCCACATTGCCCTTTTCCGAGGCCCCAGTGCGAGTGCCAGTGCCAGTGCCAGCCCCCGTCTGCCGCGCCCCACTGTGTTCCGGCCCGGCTGCCACGGCATGTGTACGCGTGTAGCCGCTGGGAGCTGCCGTCCCAGGCCTCTCTCTCTCTCTCTTTTTTTTTAACCACACACAAAACGAGACTGGGTTGCGGGTGGGCAAAGCGGTGGTTCCCTCACGCCAACGCCACGCGTTCGTTCTAGCCCAGCCCAGCCCAGCATCCTGCCACTGTTTCTGAGCGGGTCCAAAATATAGCCATACACATATTCTCTCTTCCCCCCCCCCCCCCAAAAAAAACCGGATCCATCCTTTTACTGATGCAGCTCCGTAGTAGGTGTACAACATCACATGTGTCAGTGTAGTCTCTCTAGTCATTACTCGTCCCAAGTGGGACGCCAGGTCAGTCATGCTGAGTTTCCCAGAAACAGTAGACGACGTACATCACATAGCGTATTTATTTTTTGCGGGTATTGTCCCGCCCATGCAATCCAATTAGCTGTACATATGTAATGTGTGCTTGGGTGGACTTGCCCTGGGTTGCTGTGCGCCCAACTCCGATGCCTGTTCACCTGCGTCTTGCATGGGGAGAAGGAGGAGGGACTATGGGAGCCATACGTTTTTGTGGTTGCTGTTGTTGTTTCTCGGTTAGGTGCGTCGCTTCTTTGGATCAAGGATTCGAATGTGCCAGTGCCAAAAAGCCGGCACATGTCAGACCACTGGTGCTGGATGGAGAGTGGGGTTCTCATTAAGACATCGTCATGTTTACATATATACATGCATAGCATGCTTTGCACTGCCACTGCCACTGCCACGGGGCGTGATTGGTCATTCTGATTGCGTATGAGGTTTTGGTGCAAGATGGGGCATCTGTTTATCTAGAAACCAGGCTCAATATGTGTGTGTGTCTCTTTGGTGAAATCTCGTTACTGCATCATGTGTAGGCTGTAGAAAGTACATCACGCACGTGGAAGATTTCCACACTCCAAAATTTCAACAATCCGTGCAATAATTAAAAAGCCACAAGCGCAACGTACGTAGATGCAATTATGGCCAACAAGACCCTCATTCCACGGCATCACCCGCCCATCAACACCATCGACCTCGCACACAGCACATTACTCGGGTATTCCCCAAACTCAGACGATCCTCATTTCGTCTAGCAATGACGATCCCACACATCCCCCCCCCCTCTTCTTCTTCTTCTTCTTCTTCTCCCCACGTCTCCACTCGTTTTTCCCTCCTCCTCCCCCACCACCCGAATACAATGACGACAACACGTCTCTCCAAGTTTATCCCTCAACCCGCGCGTCCACACGCACGGCTGGCGCCACCGCCGCCACTGCAGCGCCTATCACACACATACAAGCATTAGCCCGGTTCTGTAAATAAATCGGTATACTTGGTCTCTTTTCTCGTACCCACGCACGCACCCACTCATCCTTGTCTTGTCTTGTCTTGTCTTGTCTTGTCTGGAACCCTGCCAGAAAGAAAGAAACAAAACAAATACAAAAAAAGAAACAGCAAGACAGGAAGAAGAAGTGAGAGGAAATAGAAGAAGAAGAAAAACATACCACTAATCCAACCCACAAATTTCACTCCACGCAATACCACAGCCTCGATCCCCGCTTCGCCTAGCCCTAGAATGACGGCGGTAGCTGCCGTGCTCAAGCCGAGGATGAGAAGCGAATTGGGCATTGTGGATGAGGCGGGCGAGGAAGCGGGAGAAGGAGAAGGAGAGGTCGTGTTGATGCTGCCGAGGGAGCCGCCTTCAAAGGGGATGATGGCTGCGGGCATTGTTATTTGGTGGATGAGGTGTTTGATTTGATCGAAATGGGCGGCGTGTAGATGTGTAGTAGAAGCTGTATATCCGCCGTTATTCTTTCCAATCTCCCCCTTGAGTCCCTGGAGACTGATATATTCGACAGTGTTCCGTTCCGTTTCGCTTCGTTTCGTGTATACGCAGCCAAGTATGCACTACGCACCGAGTATCTGGCTTTCTGTATTGCTCGCTGCTCGTTTCGCCGGTAAAGAATGTGAGCTGTAAAAATTCCGAAACAAAAAAATCAAGCAGAGAGGAAGACGAATATAAAAGGCCATGTCCTGCCGTGTTAAGACAATTATTTTTGGTCGTCCATCATTTCTGAATACCCCCTCCTCCGTGTGTGTGTGTGTGTGTGTGTGTGTGGCGCACACGCAGAGACCTGTCTTACACACGGGACGGGGCGTGTGTCTCTGACTAAGAAATTGACTGGGAATGGACGACTCGGATGCCGTTGAGTTTGCGGGTTAGCATAGAAAGGATATTTAATAGTATTTTTTTTGGTTTGACGGGGATCATGTATATTATCATCTTGTATGTGGAAAGCCAATGGGCGCTGGAGGCTGCTGTTGTGAAGAATGCCGAAGAGACTGCAGTACTTGCGTATTGGTGTTTGACTAGTTCAGATTTGCTGATTCTCAAGCGTTTGCAAGTCTTGAAACAGTCTTGTAGATTGACATGTCTTTAGCCATGTTCTCATGTCCTATACTGTCTTACAGGCGTAACCTTATGCTGAGAAATGTCTTCAGCTTGTCGAAACATGATGTGCTGAATTACCTTGTTAGAGATATTCATCAAGTACACGAACAGTCGAATGAGTAAATGGCAACAGCATAGTCTTGAATAAAAATCTATTGGGTACTCAATCATTACGAACGTCTATTCATGTGTTCAACACATTGTCATTCTAGAGTCTAGCATCTTCAAGTGCTTTCTCTCTATCATCAACCCAGGTAAGCAATGTCCCGAGAAACAAGTCCATGACTGCGAGTCTACGCATACCATGGCCTACTCCTCGCGACCGCGCCTGCGGTTGTTCTCAATAAAAACCTTCTTGAATCGGAAGCTGCAGAGATCCTTTGTGACTTCGAGGGAGCTCTTTGCATTCTCGCGGACAACCTGGCTGGTCGGCTTCTGGAACAACTGGTCAATTTCCTCAAGCGTCAGGTCCTTGGTCTCGGGCATGAAGAAGATCTGGTAGAACCAGCCGAGAAAGGCGATTCCACCGTAGAATCCGAGTGCAAGACCAGTCTTGGTGAAGGCATTCTGCATGCTGGTGAAGTTGTAGGTAACGATGAAGGAGGAGAGGAAAAGCCATGCAGTCGAGGTAGTCATGCCGTAAGAACGGAGGTAGGTGGGGTATACCTCAGAAGGAATGACCCAGGTAAGGGCGGCGTAGGAACCGAAGAACAGCTCGTAGAGAATGAGACCAGAGAGATAGACGCCCAGTTTGCCGCTGAGACCCTCGACATGGTACGAGACGCCGACCAAGACGAGACCAACGAAGAAACCAGGAAGCATGGCAATAGCCCAGAAACGGCGACCGCACGTTTCCATGAGGAAAATCGCCGGAATAGTTCCAATAAGAAGCGAGCCCCCTCCAACGAGCGACATGTAGGTGGCGTCATAGGTGTCAAAACCGACCTGTGACATCAAGACTGACATATAGTACATAATCGCATTGATACCTGTGAATATAGTATTAATATATGATACCCAACTTCGGCATTCGTAAAAAGAAATAATCATACCTGTGAATTGTCCAAGGAAGACCATGATGTTGGCATAGATGATGGCGCGGCGAGCACGTGGCTTGGTGAAGAAGTCCATCCATGGGAAACGGCCGGTGCGTCCGGCAGCAACTTCGGCCTCTTCCATCTCAGTGCTGACCTTCATGACGAAGAACTCCTCACGTGCTTCATGGGTGGCAGTACCATGAATGCGCTTCCACACCTTGAATGCTTCGAGAGGCTTGTTCTTGTGCATCAGGTATCGGGGGCTTTCGGGCATGAAGAGGATACCAATACCCATGATTGTGGAGAAGACGAGCGAGGAACCGAGAATGTAGCGCCAGTTGCCAGGAACAGTGATGAACATGGCAGCCACAGCGTATCCGAGAACCTCACCAAGCGCAATGTTGAACTGGTAGAGCGAGACCAGGTTACCACGCAGCCTGCTCTCGACGGTTTCGGCGACGTAGACGGGGACGGTACCTCCTTCGAGACCGACACCAGCTCCTAGGATGACACGGGCGGCGACAATCATGCTGTAGTTCATGGATCCGGCTTCGAGAGCAGCGCCGATAGTGTAGAGAATGCAGGAGATGATAATGGCCCAGCGGCGACCAAAGTATTCGTTGCATGGCGAGATGAGGAAAGCACCGGCGACGGCTGAGAGGTGTTAGTTTAGCTAGTTTCAACATGAGCGTTGGTAGAAACATACCACCAAGGGGCATGCCAGAGTTGACCAGAGAATTTTGATGCGCGGTAAGGCCCAGATCGCGAGGAAGTGTCAGGTTGGCACCCGAGATGAGTGATTGATCGAGACCAGAGAGCAGACCACCCATGGACGCAAAAGCGACAATCATCCATGTGAAGTGCTTGGGGTTCTTGAACTCAATGTCCAAGAAGCCCTTCTTGTAGTTGGCTTGCTGGAGCTGCTTCTCGAGATCCTGGATCAGGTTCTCCGACTCCCATCCTCTGGCATCCTCGAGTTGTTCTGTCTTTGCCTTGGGCGCTGTGTAGTCGGACGTAGGGGCGACTTGGATGTTGTCAGTCTTCTCGGTCTGAGGCTGCGCGTGTGCCGCAGCATTGTCGACCATCTTGGTATCCTTCTCATCCATGATGGGCAGTGATCAGCAATGAAAAGAGAGCGAGACAAAGGGAGAGAGGGCAGACAGCAAACAAGCTGGTATCTCTCGCACACACAGGACGTCGTCCATGGTCGGATCTCGGTCTCTTATAAACCCCAGTGGAGAAGATGCATGTGTGTGGAGAAGCACCCCATGGAGCTCCTCAGGCGACTGGAGTGACGTACACGTGGAGTCTCCATGGCACCAAGTCGGCAATTTTTTTACCTTGGGCGAATGACGATGGCGGATTGCCTGGCAGGGCAGGATGCGCAAATGCAAAGCCGGGTGTTGCAGATGTGCGATATTGATGCCGTGAAGAGTATAGACGGGTGGAGTGGAACAAGCATTGGTCCGACGTCTTGATGGAGCTTGGCTGTAAAGAAGCTTCTAGCGCCCCACATGCGGCTCTGCGGCATGAAGATTTCTCCCGATATACTCGCCGATTGACCAAGGCAAAGGCAGGCTATGCGTGTCTTGTGTGGCAAAGGCGCTTCCCCGTGGAGATGGCATGGCTGCATGCTGCGTACCCCAAGTCCATGGCGAACGACTAGAGGGCGTAGAGTCGAACGATGCGACAGGCATCATGTCACGGCGGGAATAGCAGCGAACTGGCGGGCAGCCGGAGTAGCACCGTTTGGCCAAGCCATGACGTTGCGGAGCCGTGCCGTGTGTCAAGGAGCGGCGCGAATTGCACAAATGCAGCCAAGTCGGTCGATGCGTGCACCACCATCGGAATCGGAGTGTGGGAAAGGGCTTGGTCCGTGAAGCCATCCTCGTTGTTGTCGGCGCCCATACCGCTTGCGGATGCAACCGTAGACAAGGGCGCGAGGGAGTGTACCTAGCTGCAGTACGCCGTCCGACACGCTCCGCTGGCGGCGGCCCACTCTCGAGAAACCCCGGGGATTCACAGTCGCGGGCTTGGGGCTTCTCGGGCAGAACCGGCCGTGGGATGGAGAAGAGAGCTGCCAAGAAGAAAGAGAGGGCCTGTGCCAGAGAGATCGGAGGGCGGTCATGTTGAGTGAACTGGCCGTCACGTGATGAACCCACAACCCACCGTGCGAAGAGCAGTGCATACATATCACTAGCCCGTGCGCAAGAGGAAGAGAACGAGAAAGAGGAAAAGCAAAGCAACCTCCCGCATCCGCTCTCGCTCTCTGCCACCCGCCTCTCCCAACACAATCGCTAGCAAGCCACTTCGCCAATCCTCCCTCGCCCATCGCTCTCTCACACACAAACTCCGACATTGCACCGCACCCGCCCCACCCCAGCATACCTATAAGCCCCAATAAGCCACTAACACACCCACACCACCAGCCACCAAACCCTCGGATTCCCGAGTCAAGACAACCCGCCGACACGGGGCACGCCAGTCACATCACTCCAGTCTCACCCCTCCTCCATTTTCTCCCCTTGCAACCCCAACCCCAACCCCGTATGTATATTACTCGTACGCACATCCATACCAAACTACCCAGCTAGCCATAATGTTCCACTCGCCAACCCCAAGACAGCTGCATCAGCCCACGACTCAAGTCCTCGCTCCTCCCGCAAAGGAAAAAAAAACAACCGTTCGCGTGATGCCAAAGCAGCGCCCCCTCCCCCTCCCTTCCCGGCCGGTAAGAAGTAGTACTGCCTATTAGGAATGCCTCCTCCCGAGCATACATACATACGGCGTGGGCATGTGAAAGAGCAAGAGTGGAGAAGAAAAAACAACAATAAGCAGATAGGATTGTTGAAAAAAAAAAGAAATAAGTAAGGGTCTGTCAGATAGTCCAAGCTTCGATTTGTTTTCTAGCGGGGTGACTAGGTGGAGGAGCAGCAGGGAGGGTGAAGCAGGGAGCAGGATGAGGGTGAGGGAGGGGGGAATGGAACCTCGTATTTCCTCACGCATCTGCACCAGCACCAGTACCAGCACCACGAGGACTTGTGCATGCGAGGATCCTGGGGTGTACACACTACCACTACCACCACCATGTCTGGACCCTGGTGAAAAGCATGCATTTGATTCGACTCCCAGCGCGGATTGTCTTCTTCTATTTCCGCTTTTCGCTTAGTCCCGTGTTGGAGCCACGCGTTCTTTCTTTCGTTTCTTTTCTGCCGCTTGTGGGTTATGTCGGGTAATGAGCTGGGGCTAAGCTGGAAAAAGGAATACTATTAGGTGGGTTAATATGCTGCTTACGATGGTACGACTCGTGCTGCATACATACAGAGACTGGGGGTAGGGGAGAGGGGGGGGCTTCTCTGGGGAAAAGAGAGAGAGAGATGCATAAGGCGGTAAGTGTGTGAAATACGGTCAAACCTCCACCCCCGATATCCATGTACAATCAAACTCAAGAAAGAAAGACACTGTCAAGCACTGTCATTCGTGTCAAAGAAATGCTATTTCATTGGCCTAAATCGGTATGTATATATCTTCGTCATCATCGTCATGCTAAATACCACATCATTGCTCAAACAACGCCATCGCCAGCCAACCCCCCAGTCAAACCCTTCATCCTCCTACCCAGCAGATCATCTTCGCTAGCCAAGCTAACTAGACTCTTTCTCCTACCACGCTCACTCTTCCTCACTCTGCCTCTGCCCCGCGCCGGTGCTTCTCTCTCCACCGTGCTGCTCTTCTTCTGCGGGCTTCTCCTCCCCTTGTTCAGCACCGTCATTTCCAGCGGCCGGTCTTCATCAGCCGAGCTGGCTGTGCCAGTCCGCCGATGATGTCTTGTGCGCTGCGGTGACGTAAGCCCATCGATTGCATCTGCGAGCCCCACGGTGCCAAAGTAATCGCCTCCAAACTCCCTAGGCCGCCTCGTAGCAACGGGCGTGTACATGGGCGTTTCCGCCTCGCCCTTTTCTGCATCGGCTTCAAAAGCCTCTGTAATCCATTTGCCGCACCGGTAAATGTACTTCCAGCCCTCGGGGAACACGCCGACGAACTGCAGGAACCCGTGACTGATGCCCGGTATCAGATCGACGTTTACCCAGTTCTCCTCGTGGAACTCGCCCCGCGCCCAGTCAAGACCAAGGTCTTTTGCTGCTACCCATTCAGCGCGCTTGGCCTGCCGCAAGCGTCCTGCGAAGATGACGGTGTCGTCGACAAGCGGGTCGCGCTCGCCAGTCAGCATCCAACACCTGGGAAATTTCGCGAGCAGAGACTCTGGCGCAAGCAGCGGCGAGAGCAGAAAGTCGGTGCTAAAGTCTGGACGGTGGTGCGGGCCTATGTACAAGATGATCATGGCCCGCATCATCTCTGGCGTAAGAATGCGGTCGTTGAAGTAGGATATCATGCTGGACGTAGCAAGACGAGTTTTGATCGCGGTTGCAGGAGGCGCCGGCAGTGCTGCGCCTGGAGTAGGTGGCTGAGTAGGCAAGGGTGTGGGCGGCAGACTGGTGCCGTTTGCTGGGGTTGTTTGGCCGGGAGCTTGGTGGTTGATAATATTGCCATTGATAGTGGCATTGCTGGTGTTTAAACGGGGGAGGGAATGGCTGTCTTGACCAGTGTGGGCAGCAGAAAGCTTGATCATGGTCTGAGCCGAAGCGAGGATGTGGTTGGAAGCAGGTGGTGCACCATTGGCCGTGTTCGCTTTGCCGGCTTCGTCATCGCTGTCCGTGTCTGATCCGTAAGGCGTGTTCGGTGCAAGGTGCCGGTAATCGTCGCTCTTGTGCCGAAGGATAGGTCGGTTGGTTTTCCTCACCCTGCGATCGCGGATGAGGGCCATCTGCTCGTCCGACATCCAGTTGCCAATGTTCATGTCTAGAGCTGGATACACAAGCACCACGCCGATTGGAGGTGGTAAGGCGCGCTCGCCCTGCCATCTGCGCGTCTCTGTCGAACCGCTTTGCAGGACCATGAGCACCATACCCACAGCCAAATTACCGCCTGCTGAATCACCGCAAACCACAATCTTGGGCTCGACTTCTCCTGATAGCCCCATGCATGTCCCCCTCGAGGCCATGATCATGTGGTAGACATCATAGCACTCGTTCAGCGCATACGGATACGGGTGCTCGGGTGCCTTTTTGTAATCCAGGCTGAGTACCGGCAAGCCCGTCTTGCCCGCCCAGCCCATCAGCTTGTCGTCGTGATTTCTCGGGTCCATGGCAACGAAGCCCCCGCCAGGTATGTCGAGCACAATCTTGTCATGCTTCTTCAGCGCACTTCGAGGCCCGTTAAAGTACAACCAGCCAGTCACAGGCTCCTTGTACGAGCTCGCTCTCGGTCTCGGTATTCGAATCTTGCGCGGAGGGTATATCATCAACCGCGGACGCATCAAGTTTGTCAAGGCACCAAGATACGGCGTAGTGCCCTTGTTCCACGACACACGAAGGTGGTCGACCGTGAGCGTAGCCCGGATCTTCCTCACTTTTTCGTCCGCCTGCTCTGCACAGATCATGTAGTATATGCTGAACACGATGGACAGGAAATCTCGCATGCCCTTCTTCCGGACGCGCATGGCAGACCAGAAGCCTGCATCCAGCGCCGTTGTAACCCATGTAGCGCGAAAGTACGAGCGCGAGTATAGGTTGGCGAGCGGTTCGGGACACTCGAGGCCGACGAGCTTGCCAAAGTTGCGGGCAACGTAGAGATACAAGAGGGTTACGAGTACAGATTGCCACACGGTGAGCTTCCTGGACAGGAGGGCAGAAACGCGGCGTACAATCGGTGGGCCATGGCGGTCGCCTCTGGACAAGTGGTAAGCATGTGTGTAGTATGGTTGTGTGTAGATATCAGTGTCCATTTACCTGTAGAGATAGAAGGACCAGAACGACACGACAGCCAGCACCTGGATCTTCCTGAACTGCACTGACGGCCGCCCGAGTACATGGTCTATCATGACGACGGCTCTTCTTCACACTCTCTCTTTCACACTCACAACGCGTCTCTGCAAAGCGGACGCCCGAGTATTCTTATGCTTAGGCTGTCGAGTAAAAGGGGACCCGCGTCGTGCGTCATGAAAGGCGTGGTACGATGGTGTCTCTATGTAAAACTCCGAGCTGCAGTCGACGTTTGCGTCAGCATGTGAATGCCAGAATCCGGGGATCCGGGGTAAAATGGGCGGGCCTGGGGTAAAAGGAGCTTTCCAGCAGGGCGCAGGAGACGTGATCAGCCGTGGTCATCCATGCTCCTCAAAAGACCGCCCAGGCTGTCGTCAAGCGCGGCGCATTTGCTGTATGAGGCTCTGTGGTTGGGTAAGCGCTTCGGCATGTGACAGGCTGCTGTGGATGCGGGCGTGCCATGTGAAAGCCGCGCTATGACACCTTCTCGGCTTTGTTGCAACTTTCCGAGCACGAGCACCTACGTCAGCATCCCGCGCCAGCCTTGCCAACCCTCCGCCAGGTCGAGCCCGCCATGCTTCTTCTGCTGGCGCTGTGCTGAGCAGAACAAGGCGTGAAATCCACCTGGCATGCCGCGGGCTTGTTCTGGTGTGCTGCTTTCGAGGGCGCGTCACGAGCTGCCGGAACGACGAAACATCCGGTGAGGCACATGACGCGTGCAACCTTCGGGCTTGGCTATATCAAGTAAAAGGTAGAAATTGCCTGAGACCTCCACCAAACCACCCGACAAACTATGTACCCCGACGTAGCCCGGCATGATATATGACCCCGTGCATGCTTCCCACATCTTTGACAGAGCCACGCCGATTCCCTCGCCGCATACATCGTCCCCAGAAGAAAGAAACTCACACACATGATCCTCAGCTAGCTCCGGCCTCTACCGCTCGACACACATCCGCATTCGTAGAACCAAGCCATTTCCTCACCTCACTGCCTTGACCCACTCGCCCACCTCAAACCCAACTCTCCTCAGGTCAGACTCGGTAAACTTCCCTTCTTTCTCTTTCCACACTGTAAAACACTTGACAGGCTCGTCCATTTCGGGCTTTTGCCCAACCTGCCCCTCCTTTGCATCGTAGCTCTTCACATACAGCGTGAGGTCTGGGCCTACGGTTCCACGCCAGAGTGTTGCCATCCACTGCCAATGATCAGTGGCGCTGTATGCGTCCTGGATAGGGATGCGTGAGGCATATGCAACAGACGCCTGGAGGTGAAATGTCGGAAGAATAATGACAGGCTTCATCGCAGGCACAAACTTCACAGCTGCCGTATCAGGTGCTACAACATCTCTGCACATGCTGGAGTCGGCAGAAGAGTCTTTGTCAGACATGGTGACATCCTGAGGATAGGCGTCGGGTGAGGTAGAGGTGATGAATTTGATCATCTCTTTGCTCTTGCCATGCCACTCCTTGATCAAATCCAGATAGTCATCGAAAGTGACTTCCTTATCCTCAGCACTGGGGATTCTCGGTGGCTCCGCGATCTGGGGCTTGAACTCCCCTTGCTTGGCGAGGTGATCGTTGAGCCATTCAGAGAGTTCCTTGACCGCGGCCAGATCATCGCCTTCGACCGCGATAATCGCCCCACGGCCTTCCTTGCCAGGCGGTGTACTATCACCAGGCTCCCTGTACGGAGGCGTTATGCGGCCAAGCAGCTTGATCTTGCTTCCATAAGGCAAAATACCGAGCACTTCCTCTACGCTTCTAGGGCTGGAGTTGTGAGATGATAACACTGAATCTGCAATGGAAAGCCTTCCATCGCGAGGCGTGCGGGGAGGTGGCATGGTCGCGCTGTTCGGGGGCGAATAATGCACATGGATAGGAGGCAAAGACTCGCGCCGGGGATACTGTGTCCGAGGGTAATAAGGCCCATCTGGTCTGAGACCGCCGGCAGTATGCGGAGCTGGGTAGTCAAATCTGTGTTTCTTGTGTGGTGTAAGAGGACTGTACACCATTGAGTCGTCGCGTATCGCCGAAGTGACTTTTAATTTCAGGTTGCCAAGATTAGCGGGACCATGGCCTTGCTGGTGAACAGGCGATTCTATACCGAGATTGCTCATCCCGGGTAGGTAGCGAGTTGTCGGTGTAAGGCCTTCTGAGATGTTAGGAAGTGGCAACGTAAGTGTGCCAGAGGCGTCAAGGAATGGACTAGTAGGCGTCTTGATGCTGCGACCGCCACACCTATGGCACCGATATTTGTCGAAAGTGGTGTGCTGGCCAGAAGGATTCAGTGGTGATGATCCGGATTTGCCAAGTCTGCGTGGCTGATAACGGTAGTCCGGATACTGCTCGTGGTGCCTAGCCTTCTCTTGCTGGACGATGTTAGTATCAAGGTTTATCAAGAGATATAAACAATCACTAACCTGTGCGAGGTCTTGCCAGACCTTTCTTTCCTTCTCACTCTCAGCTTTCCACTGCTCGCCGATAATCTTGGAAATGTCAGGGTTGTTCAGACCAGGGTTGCGAGCGATAATGGCCTGCTGATGGTGCTGCCGGTAAAGGATAAATGCTGTAAAGGGTGGTCAGCAGATTGCGCAAGAATCTTGGGCCAACAAAGACCGTGTGCTTTGTTCTAATTCAGACTACCAGTCATACCAGTCTGATTGGAAAAGACGTCTTCATAGGACAAAGAGAAATCGCAAACTCACCATTCCTAGGTCGAGGTATTTTCGGCTCTGGCTGACAGAGACAAACGTGGCCTGCAAAGTCTGGAGGCCCAACCGCCGTAGCCATGGCACTAGAAGGCGGTTTATCGTCGACCAGACTGTCTGAATCCTCGCTCCCAGATCCTTCCATAAGAGAGGCAAGTCTTTTCCGCGAGATCTGAGGAGACAATGTGTCGGCTGACGCTGGCTCTTCTATGTTGTGCTCGGTGGTCAGGCTACATATCGAAGTAGAGCGCGCGTCGTGAATGCGACTGCTCTTACGCAGAGTCCGAGATGGCTTGGCACCGTCTATTGGCGACTCCGCAGAGTGATGTTCCGTTTGCATGGTGGATCTGACGTACCGCCGAGGCACGTTGAAGAAGGTCGCAACAGGAAGTGAAGGTGAAGAAGATGAAGTCCGAACAATCGGTGGGAGCACTCGACTTGCTAGCATTTTTGGATATTAATGACGAGATAGCTAAGCTAATGAGCTTTGGTGGGAGAAGGCGCAGTTCATTGTCCCGCTGATCAGTGAGGGAGGGAACGCGTTGGACGAACCACATAACATGCCCACTTTCTTTGAATGCATTATGCGGCATGCGAAGTAATACCCAGCGTGCTTTGATGGGTGAACCGCTCCGATCCAGTAAAATGATTGTTCCAGTCAGATATAGCCGATCTCCACTGACGGTTTCTTTGTTCCCCAATGTCCCGAAGCGGTCAAGGCGTGCTCCACCAACTCGTCCGTCCTAGCAACACTCCTGCACTCGCCATGCAAGGGGGGTGATGACAATGCAACCCGCTCTTTCACGGTAATTGCACGGTGGCTCGGTCTCGGGAATTGCATCGAGACGCTATTTATTGAACCAATACATCATCCACCAAGACGAGTGCAACCTGTGCAGCGCCGCTGAAGCCTTGGTCATGTTTTAGAACTGTCTTCAACAGAACTTGCTAGTACCCGGGAGGAAATTTGAGTGTAAAGTGCTCCACCTCTTGTGCCTTGGATTTCTCCTTGTCGTCGGCGCCCTGCGTCTTCTGCTCCATGTTGACCGTTTGGTTGCCGCGTATGAGGCTGGCGGTTTGGTTCCCTATTAGTGCGTGGGCCGGGCCGCTGAGCTGAATGTCGTCCCTTTCGTTTGGTCAGCTTAAAACAATGCGTTTGTCTTGAATGACGTACCAAAATAGATGCTCAGTCGGGGCGGAGCATTTTTGAGCGTCGGATGTTTGCAGGCTGTCCGCGCCGCCTCGCGGCGCTGCTAGACAGGGCTGTTCAATATGTTGAAAAAGGGGCGCTTGTAGGCCGACACCAAACGCATCGGCAATATGTCTCGAGTGCAGCTGCTTGACCCGGACTTGTTCCATGATGAGCTCGTTTGCATCGGGCATGTATATAACACCGTTTGGCCATTGTGTCGCAGTCCGATGCAAGACCAGGTTCCAGTAAGCCACTAAGAAGACCAGCTTATGCTGGATTTCTGCAAACTGGGCATCTTGCATAGCCCTCTTCTTCAACTGGAAACGCGGTAGGAAACTAACATCAATCATCTTGGGGATGATGACTTTGAGCGGAAGAGTAGCGTGCTCAGCCAACACGTCAAGCTGGTGGAATAGTGAGGTAATGCTTCTATCAATCGTCGCCGTGGCGGCGCTTTGCTCCAGCGACGAGCACTCCAGAAGCTCCCACAGTCCAAAATAAATCGTGAAAAAAGTCCACTCGTCTTCTTTGCGCAGCTTGTGGGGAATAAGTCGCCGTCGTTTGTCGTACGTCACAAACTGGTCTACCTGTGTCTTGAAGTCGGATAACGGCAGGATGCTCTGATTGTTTTTTGCCTCAATCACTTCGGCATAGACGTCAACGTCAATCAGGGCGCCAGTCTGCGCCTCATCGGCCGGCCGCGGCACGGAACGTGCAAAGTTGTCGACGGTATCACATTTGAGCTGAAGGATGTGTCAGAGTGCATTCCCACGAGGCTCCGTGCCACTCACCTCTTTGCACAGTGTCTCTACCCACAAGTCGCCTCGATCCGCGTCGCGAGCAACAATAGCAGACAGCGCCGGCGACGAGACCCGATAACTTCCCGTATCGGACCAATCGTTTCCAAATATCACGATACGATGCGCGTCGCCGCGCCAAACGGAATCTTCAAAACGGGGCGAGTGGATCCAAGTAAAATACAAAATCATCAGAGAGGCAAGGGCAGCACAAACGTGCAGCCGCGAAAAGAACCGCATCGTGTGGTCGAATCGAAGCTGAGAGCAGTCGGAAGAGAGCGAGAGGGTGTGAAGAGGTAGAGATGGGGATGCGTCCAGGCAAACAGCCCCAGGCCGCCGCTAGGTTTTGTCCAGACACAGGCTGCTCACAGCGGGAAGAGACAGTGCCATCTTGGCCAATGAACCAAGAAGCATGACGACGCCTTGGTGCAGTACGAGCCCTGGCTGTGGACATTAACGTGGGAGGAACAGGGGCCACAAAGTGCAAGCATGCTCCTATGTCCAAAAGTGGGCATGTGTTGCGTGTGCAGCGGCGTGTCAGCCCCTTCAGCGCTACCGACGCGCCGCCGGTTGTCAACACTCGACGGCGTTCTAGACGATCCGCCGTTTTCCCCCTGCTGGCAGATTCCATGTTCCCGGTCCGTTTCTAGCCATGCCATGCTCATGTACCACGCTCCCTGTTGAAATCGAGGGGCAAGCAGCTATTACATAGGGCGCTCTGCACGCACGGATTATGCGGGCTATTCGGCATCGAGGCCCACATCCGTGGCGTAATCTGTGGGGCGTGCGCCTTGGGTCCTTACGTATATATTCATAGCTGGCCAAGATGAATGGACGAAACGCAATGCGAAGCCCCTCGTGCCAGGCACGCCATGCTGCGAACACCCCTTGCGCCGTACTGTCTGCTGTCTGCTGGCCAAGCTTTCGTCGGCCCGCTCGTGCCGCTCCCTACTCGTTGAATTTCAACGTCGAAAACCTTGACATGAGGAAGTCTCTCGTTGCTCCCTTGTCCTCAATCCACTGTGCAACGTTAAATGCTTTTCCAGCCCATTTCTTGGCCTTTTCGTCGTTCTCCTGCACGTAGTAGTCGACTGCGCGATTAAACGCCGTCGTCGCCAGCCACTCCAGCTCCGTCTTGGGATAGCGTTCGGTTTCCTGCGTAATCTCGTCAGCCGAGGCGCATACCTTTTCCGCCTACAGCCTGTCCGCCTACGGATCTGGAAACATTGGTGATACACTGTGTTGGTGAGGTAAGACGACAAGGTATCGGGATGGCCTTGAGAGAGCACAGTGATAGCTGCGGGTGACTGTAAACTTACGCTCTGCTTCGCTGCGATGAGTGTCACCTGGTCAATGCATTTGAGGCTGAAATCGTCGTCGAATGGGAGTGAGAGGCTGAAAAGACAGCGTAGCCATCGCGACAGCTTCGGCACGTCGCTGCCCGGCTGCCTGCTCACCAAGCTAACAATTTTCTCGAGAACAGATAAGACTTCTGTGAGCACTGTCAGTATTACCCCGGCGGCTTTACCTGCCGTTCTTACTCTTTTGGTACTTCGTGTCCAGTTCCGCTTGTACGATACAGCCATGGATTACCAAAACCAGGTCGGCCAACGTTTCATAATGGTCGGGGCTCTTATACTTCCAGCATTGGCCAAAAAGCTCATCTAGTTCGTCCCATTTCCGAAGCTTGAGCACAGCTTCAAGCTCCAACTTGACAATCTGAAAGTGCTTTGCAATCATGTCGGCTTGAGCAGATCCACCGAGCACGTCAATCACCTCCGATGCGGCGCGTCGGAAGTTCTGGCTGTGATTGCGCGCCTCAAGGTAGTGTTGGGCCTACGCAAGTCATTACAGTCCTCAATGTGTACAAGAAGCAAACTCACATTCTGTTCAATGTTGTCTTCTGCACGTGCTAGAGTAGTACAGGTACACGCAGCGAGAAACTCGCAGAATACCAACCGAAGGCAGATGTCATCTTTTTCTTTGGGATGTTCTTTTTCTTTCAGTAGCTTGATGAACTGAGAATTATCAACCTACATAGCCGTACAACAGTGTGATGTACAGACCTCTGTACAGCAACGAAGAAGCCTAATGAGAAAGTTGGGTGGAATTTCGACACAATACTTGAGCGATAGGTTGTAAGCATTCTTAGAAAACCATTCGAACTCTACCGCTGTAAACAGCTCTTTGGCGGGAGTGCTTGGTCTGGTCCGAGATGCCTTGGCTTGGTTACAAGCTGGTAATTGTCAAATAGAACGCCACATGGAAATTGGTTTCACATACCTCCTTCAAACACCGCGCAAAGCTGATCTAAGATGACGGTATCTATATTACCATCCTTGACGAGTTCAGACTGTAGCATACGTGCAGTTGATCTATCTACGTGAGAGGCTGCCGACTTCTTAGTGTTAACAAACTTACCGTAGCAATGCGGGCAGGTGAATGCCTGCTGGTGCACCATGTTCGTATTTTTCGAGGACTTTTCTGAGAGCATTAATAGCTTGCCTCTTATTTCCAGCGCTTTGGGCTTCCATAACACAAGCATAGAGAAGGGTCGCATCCTTTACGGAGCTGCGACAGATGTGATCCAAACATTCAGTGGCTACTTTATCAGCAGTGTAGAAACTGTGGCTTAGAACGCACTTACCGAAATCCGTGTCTCCGCTTTGCAACCCTACCTTGTACATCAGATATCGTGTGACTGGTTCATCCCTGCTACTTTCAGTCATCTGAGCATGTGCGCTTCGAGCAGCATCAAAGTCCAGTTGGGCCAAGGCACACTGAACAATCTTCCTGTGCTGTGTAAGTATGCATTCTGGGGGTCGAAAACCAGTAATACCTCGAAACCTTGGCTTTGTTCTGCGACCCAGCTTTGTCGAATAATGGATGTAGACAAAGGCGACACCAGGTCTCAGCACTCTTGTATTGCTCCTGAGTCGTTGCGGCTTCCACAGTCTTCCAAAGAAGCTGTAAGTCGAAGTTAGCGACACACGCGAACGTGAGAAACATTCAAAGCTTACAGTCTGTGCAGCATGAGTAGCGGGAGCAGACAGTGCCGCTGGAAAATTCTGTGAGACATTGTCCAAGTATTCTTGTAGTTGCTCAAGTGCATTCTCTGAGAAATTGGTGCTGCCGAACCATATTCGTGTGATGATGGCTTTTTCGATCCACTGCGGATTTTCTTCTCGGAATAGCCGTATATTCATAAGGCCTTCGAGTGCTTTCATTGCCATAGCATTGCTTTCTCAAGTCAGTGGCTACAAAGAATATTTGGGGAACATGCGCACTTGTGGTCCTTTAGTTTGTGTATGTGGTGCATGATCCTAGGCAGAGTTAGTTCACTTTATGGTTGTATCGGCTGATTGATTGATCCTGACAATACGTACGTCTTGAAGTTTGTCTCGTTTAAAACAATCGTACGAATCATCCGCAAAAGAACTGTATGATTAGCAAATTAGCTCCGACAAAACTCAAGAGCCTTACCATTATAGAACTCAGTAGTATCAATCGTTTCAGCCTCGGATAACAGTTCAAGCTTCAGTAGTGAGACTACCATCTTGTCTCCGAAATCCTAGGTCTTGTTCAGTGCAATGCCTCAAAAATGGTGTTACATAACTCTTACAGTCTCCATCAGCTTCACCATCTGCCAAGCCTTGTCTTGTGTCTCGGGTGTCCTTGTCTTCATGTATGCCTGAGCTGACCGATATATCAGCCAGGGTCGCCCCGTATTCTTTTCAACGTACCAATGCCTTGCATGATGCAAAGCCTCAGCTCTCCCACTTCCAGACTAAGCATTCCCAAGTCTTGGCCTTCGAGGATATCGTGTGCGCGTTCCAGCCACCGAGAAGCCAGGCTATAATCACGCTTTGCTAAAGCACCTTTTCCAATCTCATACAGTAAATCTGCAAGTACCTCGGATGTTGCAGGCGTGGGTGCTGTTAGGAGTTGCTTGCATTTGGTGAACATGTGCTCCGCTGTGTCCATGCGATCTTGGCGCCATGCCTGCATTGTTGTAAGTCCGACTTCCCGTTACAAAAACCGCCTTGGATGTAGCTTTCAAACTTACCAAGGTCGTTCGTACCGCAAAATATTGAGCACTCAGGCCATCTGCGAGCTCGCGCTCCTCCCTGCGATTGTCTTCGCCTTCTTGGCTAAGCACATGCTGATAGTCTGCAGCGCGTTCAAGCACTTTAGTCGCAATGCCAAGTTCATTGTCTCGGATGCAAACTCTCGCTGCTTTCAGTGCAACCTTGATAAGACGGATGCAGTTCTTGCACTGACCGCCTTTGTTGCCTTGGCCACCTGCGGAGTCGAGAAGCAAGAACGCAAAGGCGCGCAGAAAAGGCAACGCACGGCTCTTGCGAGCGGCCGCATCACTAGGTGGCTTGTTTGTGCCTGCTTCGTCGCGCCCCAGTCGTGTAGTCAGGTTCCAAAGCTCCGTACCGAGCGTGTCGAGTTCTTCTTGCTTTGCAAGTACTATTGGAGATGCAGGGAATGGGAGGAGGTGAATTTGAGCTTGAATGTCATCCGCAATTGTCGTATCGGTACCAGCCTCTAGTCTTTGGATGAGCACTGAAGCGAAAGCTGCACTGTGGTGAGTGACCTATATTGCACGAGTGTTAGAACAGCACTCACAAAGAATTGCTTTCAGCTTCTTTTCGCGCTCTGCTTTCACCATAGATTGTGCAGATGGCATTTTCGTAAACGACCTGGGGAATTGAGGTTGGTTCAAGATGTGAAGATGCGAGGTGTGGTGAGGTCTGCGGAACCGCGGCTGCTGTTTGGAAGATAGGTGCACATCAACAAGGAAGGAGCGTCTGACTGTCGCAGCATGGCATTTCTTTTGGCAACAAAAACCCCCCGAGAATAGAATACAAGCAGCCAAAATTCAAGTACAAACAAGAATGTGGATATCTTTGTAGCTTTGATTATACTTCCACGGATGCGGGCAGCCATTCATCCTCGTGCTCTTAGAGAGCCATGTTTTCAATCACACCTTTTTATATCCTTCCCCCTCGGTCCAGCAACACATCGTACAGTTTTCAACACAGAAAAACACTGCACGAATGTAATATTATGAAGCAGGTAGCGGACCAGAAGTGGCCTCGGTTATGGGAAGGAAGTTGCCCACGATTAGCGCCGGTCTATCAACAGTCAGCATACTCGATTGCTCCACCGTTATTTCTACTCACATATTCCAGGCATCTCGTTTTACGGTAAAAGAAAAACAGCACCGTATCTCAGGATCCTTTGAGTTCGGGTCAGGATTCTTCAACGAGCAGCTTGTTAGAATGGCTTTCTGGGTGTGGTCGAAAGCAATGGCACCGAATTTTTCCCAGTACGACACCAGCGATGGCTCGGCAATGATCTCGTGTAGAGCAATATTACCCTTTGTTTGTTAGTCCATATCGATTCTGTAAACATGGACAGGGAACCTACGTCTCGTAGCTTGGACATTGGTACGTGGATGAGCCGTGCCATTTCCTTGTTGCCTCGGTATATCTCGCCTGTTCTCCGCCAACAACAAGCAGGTATAGCCATGCTCGCAAAGACACGGTCATACTCCATCAAGCTCTTGTCGAACCACATCTCGATACGCACCAAATCCACGTCAGTCAGGCTCTGCATTCGTTCTCGGAACTTTGGACGGAAGCGATCTAGTTGGCGCAGCACTCTGACGCGGGATATTTGCTGCAGGTTCTGTTCCATGTACTGGTTCAGCCGTGCGTATCCCTTGACGTAGTTGAAGGGCTTGAGGAGTCCAGCATCTACTTTTGCCTTGAGTAGTTTGTTCATGCGCTCTTCTGGGCTATCCGATCCAGCAGGGTCGGCAGCCGTTACCAGATATCTTTCTCTTGCTTTGTCAATAGGCACCCCGCCCGAGGCCCGCTGTGCTGCATTAGTGCCAGCATTCTGTGCTGGCGGTGGAAGTAACTGCTGCTGTCTCGATGCGCCCGGGTTGAAAGCAGGGTTGCTGTTCAGAGGGCCAACGGGGTTCATGAGGGAAGCGTCAGAGAAGAGAGAGTGGAATTCATTGCCTCCGTAAAAAGCACCGTCATCCATGAGGCTGTTGTTGAGAAAGTCGTTGAGCAGATTGTACTCATTGCCCACTTCTGACGTGTTGAACATGTATGAAGGATGGAACTGGTGAATGTCCTGATAATGGTTTTGGGAGGATGCGAGCAAGTCATCGTAGCCCCCAACTTCAAGGCCGTCAGTGACGAGGCGAATTTGGGGCTGAGAGAAGGTGTAACTTACAGGGATGAGTACCAGACGTCAAGGCAGGCGGTTGTGGGGCAGCTACAGCGTCAGACTGCGTGCCAGACGTCGTGCTCGCATCGCCATTAGTGGGTAGTTGAGGCGGCGCCAGATTGAGTGCAGCGTCTGGAGCACCGGGCTGCTGGAGCGCGGCTGTTGACGCTGCTTCAGACACGGCTGGCTCAATCTGCGGAGTCTGGCTCTGTCCCTCGCCGTTCTCGGGCTCGGATTTGGCCTTCTTGACGCCCTCTCGAGGCTCATCACGACATAGATGGCCAATGCTCCGCTTGACACAGCGTGTGCATGGTCGTTCCTAATTCGCGTAAGCCCAATGGGTCTGCAAAGCCGCATATACGATGCTGGATGCACTCACCAGGTCACAGGTCATGTGCTAAGGGGCATGGAGGGTCAGCAAGCAGTCACAATTGTCTTGGGTGCCACCGGGTGCCATGTGGCAAATGCTGGGGTGTGGCTCACCGAACGTCTGCAGTAGATGCAAGCTATATTGGAACATCAAAGTCAGCAGGGCTGTGGCGACGGCTGGGGAGGCACAACGGCGAAGGCCTACCATGATTGACCTTTCGACGCTTCTTGGACGTCTTTGCAGGCGCCTCGGATGCCGTCGCAGCAGGCTTGGTCTTGGAGGGCGAGGCAGCGCTCTTTGGCGGCGCATTGGGTTCGGAAGCAACATTGGCCTTTTCAGCCTCACCGTGTTCCGTCATTTTGACTGGAGAAGCTCCATTGGACCGTCGTGCAGCTTCCGTCATCCAGCGCTGTAAGTGGGTGGGTCGAAGCCGGATGCTTTTCTCGGAGATGCGCAAGCTGGTTTGTGGCACTACAGGGATCCCGTCGCGCCCTGGAGCATGGCAAAGAGCAGCAAAGGTCGAGAAGCGCCAGAAGCACCAGAAGCTCGTCCTTGGTCGCACGAACGAGTTTGGAGTCGAGGCAAACGCGTGGCGGGGGTGTTCGTTTGACGACACAAGAGCCGAGTGAATGTCTGGTCGCGTGCTTTGCCGAACCGAAGGAAAATCCCGGGATTTCTCCACCACCACCAACAGACTGCGCCACGCACCCTTTGCGCGCACCTGTGCCTGCGACCTCTCTACCTGTCCAGAAAAGAAAAGAAAAAGAATACACCACTTGTGCCCTTGGACTATATTCGTGCGTTCCAGTTTTGCACAAGCTTCCACAAGACACAGTAGCTGCAGGTGTGGCTCCGCGGTGCCATGCGAAGCCGGTTGGGCCAATCACGGCCCACGTGTTACTACATGACATCGACGTAGCTGGCCGCCAGGAGAGCTGCATGCACGCATTCCGATGACCATTCACTCGGACCCAGACTTCTAAAACTGGGGGATCGAGCATGGGGATAGAAGCCGCCCACTCTCCGTCTGCCGTCTTGCAGTTCCGTCCTGCCCCATGCCGGCCTCTTACGGGCCTTTCTCGCGTAGATGGCGCCCAGCCTGTACGTATCTATGTACACAGCCTGTGCCTTGCAATATTGCATCAACGCCATTCGTGTCCCCCCCCCCATGCGCCTCAATTTGCACCACCATGGCTAGAACAAAGCTCCCGCGCTGACCCTGCATATCAATAGTCTACAAGCTTAGTGTACTGTGCGGCGCTGGCATGCCGAAATAGGATGTCGTCCAGCGCTGCCTGCGCGTCGCTCACTGCCGTATCAAGACCCTCGACTTGCGCGTGATTACCCTGCATGTTCTTCAGGCTAAGCCTCAGCTGTTCGAGCACAGGCTCGAGGTCCTCGTCGTCGGGCGAATCCAGCGGCGAAACATCAACCGGCTCTGCTCGTTTCAGGTTGATGTCTTCAGGGCCGTCGCCGTCGATAGGGGCATCGTCGTCAGCCTGGAGCAGGGGGTGCAGCTGCTGGCAAAGTTAGCCGTTGCGTCGTCCACATGCAAACACACGGCCACGTACGCGTCCATGCTTCCGCTGGTGCTTCCATTCCGTCCTCCACGTCTTCGTATTCCTCTTCATCAGCTCCAAGTACTCCTCGTCCTTGCCGAGCAGGTGCTGCGCAATCTTCATCTGTTCGCTTAGCAGCTGCTTCGAATGCCGCGCCGTCGTAACCTCTCGTGAGACTTGCGCATTGCGCTCCGTCAGCTTGTCGATGTTGAAGTGTATGTCTTTGGCCTGGGGAGGCATTCGCGATTCCGCCAGCTGGCGTGCTAGTCTTCGCACAAGCGGGTTGAGCGTGTTGTATGCGGCCATGACCCTGCGCTCGTCCCGCTGCGTCTCAGCCGTATCTTTTTTCGCATTGCGTACCACGGCGAGTATCTGCTCCAGTACCTGCGCCGATACTTCTGGCCACTGGTCGACCTGCTCTCGCGTAATTCTCTTGGACTTTGCCTCCAGCCGTAGGTATTGCTTGTGCGACTTGGCTTCGGGTTCGGTGGCGGCGGCGGCGGCGTCATCGACTTTGCGCTTGCGAGGTTTCGACGACTGCGTTGGGGCAGCTTCGGTTATAGATAGCTCATCTTCGACTTCTGGTGGTGGCTGTTTTGTGCGGGGCTTGCTCTTCTTTGCTATGCCCTTCTTCGTCGCTGGCTTCGCCGCTGGCTTTGGCACTGACTTGGAGCCAGCAATCGAGTTGCGGCTCCCCGGCGGTCTGCCTCGCCTTTTCTTGGTAGCCTCCTTGTTACTTGGGCGCTTAGGCGCCTAGGCCATATCAGCATGCGCACCTGTGTGAAAATTACCGAAACGTACCATGACGGTGTGTTGGGATCGAGACGCGTCGGATTAGCGGGTGTTGACAATCGCGTTTGGTGGGGAAGGGAGCCGCGTAGCGTGGGCGCCTCTTCACGTGAGAATAAGTACATCGCACCTTCACACCTCACATTCCACAGCTTAGATAATTACCCACAACATGGCACGAGCGGAGATTATTTGTTTTGATGTGTTTTGAGGAGCGATTCTAACGTGCTGAAACTGCAGATTTCAGGATGCCACAGGGTACACAATGGAAGACAGCAGTGAGGCACACCCATACGAGTGGATATAATAGTAGATTTTAAATGCTGGGGCTTCTACCCTCTATTCTAGTTTTCTACAATCCTCGGTTGCCATGGATTCCAACATCTACTCCTGCAGAGGCGCCTTGAGCACGTCGCGAAGGTTGACCACGGTCGCGGAGAAGGGAATCTTACCCCCGCTGCCCAAGCCATCAAATGTCTCGCCGCCGTAGATCATCAAGTGGTCCGGCCTCTTCTTGAAGATCTGGATAGCACGCGAGTAGACGGCTCCAGCTGGCGTGGCATGCTCCTCCCACTTGTTCACATCACCGCCGAATGTGTTGGTGTAGACCTGTCTGCGGTCTGCGTCTGACACGACAATGGTGCCGTTGGGACCGCCGATGGGGCTCCAGACGACGTACGGGCTGGCATTGGGAACACTCGATTTGTTGATGACAATGGGCTGGCCGACGCTCTTGCGGAAGTCCAGAGGTGAGTCGGCGAGAACGTAATAGACGGGGTAGTTTGAGCCGTAGGATGACGAGTTGCCAATGGGCAGCTCGTGCACGAGGATCCACTTCTTGATGGGAGGGATGAAGGCGACGACAGTCATACCAGGGCGGGCAATGTACTCGTCGTAAGCCACGTCGTTGACGACGGGGCCCCAGGTCTTGAGGTCTTTAGAGGTCTGGTGAGCAAGCTTCTGGCCGTGCTTAGGGTCACGCTGGTCCGAGTAGTAGGCAATGAGCTGGTTCTGGTATTGCCTTGGCATTGTCAGCTTGATAGTCTTCCAAATGTGGACGAGGTAAACTTACAGGAGGTATGGCTCCCAGACGGGGGTTGCTCCGTTGGTGGTGTTTGGTGGTCCACCTTGGGCAATGTGGCTCACAAACTCCCAGGTCCTGGCTTGGTCTTTGCTGGCATAAAGATCGATCCTGGTTCCGTTGTTGCTCCAGCTGTTACCACTACCCAGAATGGTGCCAGCAGGGTAACCGCCCATGGGCGTCGACAAGACTGCCAGGGCGGGCTGAGCATTCATACCCCAACCATTGACTGTGTCGCGCAAGTCGGAGACGTGCTTCCATGTAGCACCACCATCCTTGGACTCAAAGACGGGAAAGTAGCCAGGCGTGTGGCCGATGAGTGACGCAGTGGCGAGGATGGTTCCGTCGGCCAACTCAGTGTAGCGAGGGTAGGTGATGCTCTCCTGGCTAGTTGTCTGGTAGATGGTGTTGTTTACGAAGAAACCCCATGGCTGAGGAGTGCTGGTTTTGAAGGTTTGAGGAATAGCAGCGGCAGTGCTAGCAAGGGCAGCAGCCGCGGCGAAGATACTTGTGTAGAACTTCATGTTTGTGGTGCCGTCTACTCGAGCAGCTCTAGCAGTGATGGCTGATTGAAACAAACTGGAGTTCAACTGCTGGATTGCAGCACACGTTTAAATATATGTGCATCATTTTTGCCTCTATTGTATGACAGGACCTCATTACCCTGGCTAGCAGTTACTCCTTCCAAAAATTGGCCACAGTGAGCCACAGCATGCACAGATCAATGTAAGCAACTACGATATACCCGGCGGACCGTTTGTACATACAGCAAAAAGCAACTAAGTAGGCATCGGGGCGCCACTCGGTACGCCATAAGGCCCATTAACCGGTGGATGAACCTCGTGTGGTTTAATCCCCATACAACCGTTATATTCTAACAGTTGAGGTGTTCTGACATGTTCGTGAGGGATTCTGCATGCATGAGTCGGGCTAGAAGCATCGTCGTGCGGTGCCTATGTATAGCTGTTGTGCTCGTCCAACCCTACATTGCATCTTGAATGGCGAGGCAGGGTGCCGCGGGCGCAAGAGTGTCAATTACCTACTTAACATAGGGTTTGGAGCTGCGTCAGTATAGGTTCGGTAGTAGCAGCCAGACTCTTCTATAATATAAATCTCGGCCGTGAAACGATGGTGCTGACGGACTCTCGTACGTCATGTACGGCTGATATATGTACAATAGCTGTTGTGGCATGGCGAGAAGAACTAGTGGGAGGTCCAAGTTGAAAGATGCGCAGTGTGTACTAATCATCCTGCAGCAGGTGGATCTATCGTGCGGGGAAATTCCAAACGAGTACAGCCGAGGATGGATGTAACCTGTTTCGGGGTAGCTATCGTGTGTGATAAACAGCCGCCGGCATTTCTTTTCCCCCTTTCCTTGGTAATAGGTGCATACGCCCCTCAGAAGGCGGAGAAATGTGCGCCACACGCCTCAACAATAGTACGGCAAACATGTGTTCGTGTTCTATTAGGCATTCACTTGGTTACTAAAACCAAGAAGCGCTCTGCCGTCGACACTAAGTGGCACAGTGCAAAGGTAAAGGACCTTAAGCTTTAAGTTCAAAGCTTGTTCTCACTCGAACTAGTAGATAAGCTGTAAGCACGATTGTTTAGCACAACGGTTATAGGAGGTGAATGGGGAGATCTTAATAAACACCCTGGCCCATAATCAATAACCTGACCCATGCCTATGTAATATCGTTTTCGTACTGCATTACACGGAAAATCTTAAAGCCACGATCACGCTTCACACCGTCGTCAAGTACCAACTTTGCAGCCTCTCGTACTGGAATTGTCAAAACACTCCATGGACGGGCACCGGCATACTTATAGCTGCTTCGCGGTCGCGTCTAAAATCTTAGTAGACGATTACACGCAAACTAGTTGAGACTACCAGAGCAATGCCGATACCATTCCGAAAGAGGCGTGCCCTGCGACGCAAAAATACCTCTCTTCAACCCAGGACCGAAATCTTCCAGTGAGTGTCTGGCGGAATGCCTCAGAAAACCGGACGTCGGAACTAATATGCCATAGCTGTCGCTGCTGTAAACAAGCTTGGCATCTTGGCGCAGGATTCTAGCCTTGAAACAGCCACTGCTGCCTCGCCATTGGAAACACGCTCATCTTATGCCACCGCTTCCCTGTTGCTTGCTTCCTTTTGAGTCGCCCGCCGCATTCAAACGCTGCAGTCAAAGCCATACAAACAACTGCGCTGGCTTTATTGACAGCCCGCGCCCGCTACAGAACCAAAGACCAACATGGCCAGGTAAGTCGGTGAAATCCAGTGTTGTACGGTGTAAATTATCCGCGTCGAGACTGATCGTCGCCTGACAGCTACTCCTGGGTCATAGTACGGTTTCAAATATTGTGGAGTATGCCCATGCCAAGGACCGTCATGTGACATAATTGGCCGGGACATGTCACACCAGCCATGGCAGCCGTTTGACACATGCAAACGTCCGTTTGGACAGCAGAAATTCGGGCAAGCGGACTGGCAGCTAAAGGAGGAAGGCGTAGTGTGGAGTGATGTGCTGGTGCAGCGGCACAAGTGCTACTATATATTGCTCCCTCACGGAGAAATATCCCCACCGTGCCAACCAGCAACACTAACACCAAAAAAGTCACCTGTGGATCCTTCGGAGAACTGCCGCCACCACCCAAGCACTTGGCACCATTTACTTGAAATACACATGGCGCGCTTTGACTCGTAAATCTTCGCCGAGCGCGCAGTTCCATTGGTCGTCTGCGCGAATTTCCGTCAACTGAGACTGGTTCACTTGTCAAAAAACTCTTGGTATGGGTTTCCCGCATGAAGCCTTCATAGCCTGCGTTAATTTCCCCATAGTGCTTGACTCGTAAGACGAGAAGGCGGGGAGGGAGAGCAGAGGTCTGGAAGGAAACAGAGAAGGTTTCAAAACATACTTAAAGGCCGCGTGTGAAGCGCAAAACATTGATTGAAACGAAACACACAAACACACCGGGTTCCTCACCAATCGCAACATCCTCCACCATGTTTCGCTCAGCCTCTCTTTTTGCACTGGGTGCTCTTCTCTTCCTCACCTTCTTCGACCATGTCTCCGCAGCTACGGCCGGCTGTGGAAAGTCGCCCTCGCTGAACAGCGGCGTCCACACCATCACTGTCAACGGCAAGCAGCGCCGCTACACGCTCCGTGTTCCCCAGAACTATGACAACAAGCGCCAGTACCGCTTCATCTTTGGCCTGCACTGGCTGAACGGTGACATGAACGCCGTCGTCAGCAACTCTTACTACGGTCTTGCTCCCCTCGCACAGGAGAGCACCATCTTTGTTGCTCCCGACGGTCTCAACAGGGGCTGGGGCAACCAGGGCGGTGAGGACATTACGTTCCTGGATGCCGTCAGGAAGCAGGTTGAGGATGCTCTCTGCGTCAACGAGAAGCTCCGCTTCTCTCTCGGTTTCTCTTACGGCGGTGCCATGTCCTTCAGCTTGGCTTGCAGCAAGGCTGCTGACTTCCGAGGAATCGCCGTCCTGTCTGGTGCTACTCTCTCTGGATGCGCTGGCGGTAACACCCCGATTGCCTTCTACGGTCAGCACGGTACCCATGACAGCGTTCTGCCCATTGCCTCTGGACGACAGATCCGCGACCGCTTCCTTAGCCTGAACGGCTGCCAGGCCAAGAATGCTCCTGAGCCCTCAAACGGCAGCGGCACACACATCAAGACTGTCTACAATGGATGCAAGTACCCCACGCAGTGGACTGCCTTTGACGGAGACCACGTCGCGCTTCCCGGAGACAGGGGTGCCCCAAGCTTCACCCCCAAGGACGTCTGGACCTTCTTCAGCCAGTTTACCTAAGGCAAACCTTCCTGTTCTATGTAAATAAAGTTAGGGCACAAGTTTATGCATAACGAACGCATGAAACGTTTTGTGAAACGCGACAGGATCGCCAAATTGGAGGATCATACTGCTTAGGAAAGGTGTACATACAAAAAAAGTAGATGCTCGCTCTTCAAATTCAATGTACATATCAGTTGTTATCAATCCTCGACTTCAAAATCTTCTTGCTCGGAATGCTCCACCTCTGCATCACTCACTATGTCGCTTAGGATACTGCTTTCAGCGTCGCTCGCACCACTGCTTTCAGCGTCGCTCTCGTATTCCTCAACGATCTTCTTCTTTGGCCTCACCTTCTTTGTACTTCCACCTTTTACTGGGCTTGCACCATCACCCTTACGCCCACCAGTCCTCTGCACTAGATGTTCGATTGGGCAACCCTCGTCCCATCCTTCGCTGCTCTCGCCAGTGATCGCTCGGCATCTCGGGCATGTCTTTCCGTGCTTGATGAGTAGCTGATGTAACGGGTACTTCAGATGGTCGGGCACTCTGACTTCACAGTGAGCATATGTCGAGTTGCGTGTTGGTCCAGCGAATGCGCCTTTTGCGCCTGGAGCCAGGCCCGCAGGATCACTCGTTGCAGGTACCCATCCGAGCCACTTGCAGAGTCGAAAGACGTGTGTATCGACGGCGAATGAAGGTCGTTGAAGGCAGAAAAGAAGCACACACGATGCCGTCTTTGGTCCGATGCCAGGGTATTTTGTGAGGGCATCAAAAGCGTCATCGGTTGAGAGCTGGTGCAGGTGGTCCAGAGAGATGATATTCTGCTTCGCCTTTTCGATCTCTGCATGCTTATCTTCTTCGGCCTCATTAGCGGAACCAGCTGCTTTACCAGAAGATAGCAGTTCCTGGCGCCGTGCTTGGTTCTCCTCCCACACCATCTGTAGAATTTTCTTAATGTCTTTGCTCTTCACGTCTGCAAGTCCACCACTCTTGATGGCTTCGAATACTTCTTTTTGATCTGCCTGGCGGACCTTGTTCCAATCCACGCTGCCTTTGCCAATGCCTTCTTTCAGAACGCCGAATTTGGCGACAAGACCAGCAAAAGCGCGCGACGAGTTGGTGCCAGACGTTGCAGCAGAAAGACGAGTACGGATAAGAGCATCTAGGACAGACGGAACTTCTCCACAGCCAGATACATCAAGTGATGGAGCAGGAATCGTCTTTGGAGCCTCTACCTTTCCATGCACCTTTGAGAGGATACGCGTGACTTCCTCACACTCTTCCGCAGTTGGATGAGGGTAATTTGGGTAGGGTGTCTGCCCAGGCGTGAGGCCGTAGCCACCAGTTTTGCCCTTGCCCTTTTTCTTCGGGGCTTCATCGCTCGTCGTGGCTGCTTTGGAGACAAGGGTTTCAGCCTTCTCTTTCTTAGGGGTCGTGTGCTTGGCGGGCTTTCTGGTGTTCTTTGAAGCTTTTTTGTCACCATCTTCTTGCTTGATAGCAATTTCAGGAATAGCACCGAGGTTATGTGGAAGTTCGTTGGCGTCCTCTTGTTTTACTGCAGATGTCTTGGTGCGCTTGTTGTTCCTACGTGTGGGGGATGGATCCTTGGTCTTAATACGTGGAGAGTTTTCCTCTTTGACTGCTTTCCTCTTTCGGGGATTGCGTGCCTCTGGCGTTGGTGGTGGGCTGGAAAGTTGTACTGGCTCGTTATCGTGGACGGGTAGTACGTGCACAGCCTGGGCCTTTGCGGCCGAGCTTCTTGTGGTTCGTGCCATGAGCGGTAAGCGTATTGATCTGGGTAGCTGTGGCGAGCTCCTGAATGTGCCGAAGCGAGATGCTAGGAGCAGCCGGAGTGGAAGTCTGGATGCAATGACGACTGTAGTCGTGGTGGAAAACGAAGATGGCTGGTTTCAAAATGAAGCCTCTGAAGTATCTCGCGCGGCAGGTGAGTGGTGAAGTGAAGAATGACGGGACTGGGCCGTCGCAGTGAATAGTAGGGAGCATGTCATGACGTCGTCGAGGGTGATTGGAGCTCGGACCCTTGTTCCTGCTTTAGCGTGCAGCAAGACACGCCGAGGTCCACATGGCCCGCGGTCTCGCCGTCACGGCGATGCAGCTACCCCACGTTGCTTCACCTTGACTGTGTCGAGACGTTATCCCGCGACGCCCTGGACGAGACTGCATCATGGCCCACAAAGCGCCTCTGATTGTGCCCGCGCTCAAGCGACACACTGCCACGGTGATTGTTGCTCATGGACTCGGAGACAGCGGAGCTGGCTGGTAAGGAGCGCTCAGTGGTGCGGCTCTGTACACCCTGACAAGAGCAGGATATTCCTCGCAGAGAACTGGCGCAGGCGAAGCAAGTTTGAGGAAGTCGCCTTCGTCTTTCCAAGCGCTCCCGATATCCCAATCACCCTGGTTCGTGACTGATCTTCGACCCTCCGCCGCCGCCGCGGCGCAATAGACCAGCACGAGTGCTGATTCACAATTTAGAACATGGGCATGCGCATGCCGGGTTGGTACGACATCAGGTCGCTCACCAATCTCGACGGGCGCCAGGACGACGAGCCAGGCATTCTCGAGTCTCAAAAGTACTTTCACTCGCTCATCGACCAAGAGGTTGCCAAAGGCATACCCGCGAACCGCATAGTCATTGGGGGGTTCTCGCAGGGCGGTGCCATGTCAATATTGTCTGGAGTGACGTATAAGGAACAACTGGGAGGCATCTTTGGCCTGAGTTGCTACCTTCTCTTGTCAAAGAAGATCAAAGACATGATCCCAGACAACAACCCGAACCAAAACACACCCATCTTCATGGGTCATGGTGACGCCGATCAAGTCGTCGCGCATAAGTGGGGAAAGCTGAGCGCCGAAGAGCTTGAGAAGCATGGATACAAGGTCGACTTTAGGACCTACAAGTACGCCACTGAACAATCCGCACGAGATGCTTTCTAACCGCAATCAGGGGCCTCGTTCACAGCGCTGACCCGGACGAAATCGACCACCTCGAGGCCTACCTCAACCAGCAGATACCTGCACTAGATAGCAAGCCGGAGTCGGCTTGACTCTCCCACAAAACCGCCTCGACCGAGTTGACCACGGTACTGGTGATAGTGGTTACATTGGTTGTTGCTTGGTTTGCGTGGTATAGAAAGCGCGACGTACCACATGCGCACGAACATGCAGAATGACACAGGCTGTCTGGATAGCTTTTGTGCCAATTGATATGATTTCCAGAGTTGACAGATGATAGAGGGCTATGAAGTGGATCTCCGGTCGCCTGGCATCTAACTTCGCTCGTCCAAATGGATTCTGGAGTTGTTACTCGGATTCCCTTGGTCTACGGGCAGTCTGTCAGGTACAAAGAATATATATTTCTATCTACCCACTGTATTTTTGCAAGACTTGGCTTTCCTGCCATTTAGTCGTTCTTTTAGTCATTCCGTCGAGGTTAGTGCTGGTGGACTTAAGTATGACTTTTTGTCTGCAAATTTTCGCATCTTAGCCCCACCACCCACGCCGACTCTCTCATCTATGCCTCAATCTCGATTCTATTTCCAAACCTTGATCATTGCTGCCTCTTCTTTGCGATATTATCTCAGCATTCCAATACGCCTCCATCGATATCCGATATGGTCTAGTGGCTAGGATTTGCCGCTCTCATCGTAGAGTCAGCTTACTGAAAGGCGCCGGCAAGGCCCGGGTTCGGTAAGCACACCAGCTCCCCCTATTCAATTCCAATAATCGCCTAACAAATTCCCCAGATTCCCGGTGTCGGAAAATCTTCTTTTTTGCGAATATATGCTAATGTTTTAGTATTGTCAAGTGGCCCTCAACTCTTACCACTGTACATGTTTTTTTTGGTAATCATGGCTGTGGGTCAGTCCATAGCGGATGTCGCCGGTTAGAAGTAGAGTGCCCCGACCCCAGGAGGTAAGGTTCTGTTCAGCTCTCCGTGATCCTCTTTGCGTCAGCTGCGACACCCAACTCGGTATTATTGTCTTGCCGTCTTGGTTCTGGGGCATACTTTTGGAAATTGGGGCGAGACATGGCGGCCATGATATACATACATGCAGTGAGGGGTCGCATCCAGTGGCGGGCTGCGCTGACCCTGCCGATACCAGGAAGTTATGTAATGGGGTAATTGAAAGTTTGAGTAAGTCCGACAAAGGGACGACGTCCCATGTCCCCTGAGCGATGCTAAGTGCGGTGGCTTGCATGCGGGTTCGTACTTCGTACTCAACGAGTCTAGACATGCCACCAACTATACGGCACGCGCCTGACCCCAATCGATAGTGATAGCAGCACCGCAAGCAATGCCAAGCCGTGTATTAATAGCGGTTCAGAACACAAATGGGTCCCCCCGGTGTTTTCTGGAAAGCAGTTCAGGACAAAGCAATGTCCCAACAGTCAACCGGTGATCGACAAGGTTAGCCATGCTCGTTGCTCTGCAAGAACATGCGCAAAGACTGGTTCAGGGCTATCATGCGCGTGAACCAGAGTCGTGACGATTACAGCCCGAATTGCGAATGATCTGCGCTAGGCTCAGCAAAATCTTGCCGGACTCCCTTTTGTTGCTGTCCCAGGAGGACGTAGTGGCGTCCAGGCACTCCTCTCAGGATCGCAGGCTGGAGGCTATCCGTATATACATGGCCCCGACCACATCTTCCCGCCCGCCTATCGTCGCCCGCTGCCATGCGGTAGGCCGCCGCTGTCAGTTTCGTTGACGACAATTGCATCTCCCGTCCAGACGGACCCGTCAAGCATACGCCGCAAAGCTTTTGCGAGCGGATAAGAGGATATTCAGGAGTCGAGTCAGGATACAGTTAGGCAATTTACGCTAAGCGAGAGCTTAATTTCGTAGGGCGTATTCCGACGAATCCCTCTCCATCTTTTGGCTCCACATCTCACTCAGACTTTAGAAATCTGACTTGGCTCCCGTGGCAAAAAAGCAATCTGCTAGACCCGAGTTGTTGTTGGATATGGGAGGCGTTCCCCTGAGCGTCCGCCGACCATCAGCTGGCGAGCCACGCCAGCTCGCCCCTCATCCAACACAGTGGGGAAAAAAGAATCAAAAAATTACAATGGTTGGCATGATGGCTGCGCTGTCTGCAAAATGCGCGATTCTTCTGGGTGATTGTTGGGCCATGAACCTGGGAAATTTGGCACGCAACAGACATCTATTTTGGCCACCCTAGTCGTCATGCCTCCATGCACAACCGCCGTATGGGGCGTGCATGTCAGCGGAACCAGGCACCTAGCGCCGGGCCAAGACGCAGCCTCAGTTGAATCGGTGGAGCCATACGGGCGCTGATCGTGGCCGCTCATGGCGGGCGGGACAAATACGAGAGGGCGTCGTGGTTGTTAAAAAGCTGGGTCTCCCTTATCCTTTCCGCCCGTCATGTCGCAATCCAACGTCTTGGACTTCTAGCATATCTTCGCTCGTTCGCTCACTCCCTCGCTGAACCCGGTGCGCATCTCTCGCTACTTGCTTTTAACTAAGTCTAGTCCATCACTTAATCATATTCATAATGCGTTTCTCCACTTTCGCCCTCGTTTCCCTCGTTTCCGGCGTCTTCGCCGGTAACTGCGGTCCCCAAAACGGCAATGCCAGCTGCGCCGCCAGCGAGTGCTGTAAGTTTGTCCTGCATGTTCAATTCATGTTATGCCTTTACTAACATGGCCTCTAGGCTCGCAATACGGCTGGTGCGGCACCACGGCCGACCACTGTGACCCACAGACGTGCATCAAGGGCTCCTCTGGTTCCGCTTCCAAGTGCAAGACGTCTAGCAGCTCCCCGTCAACTGGTTTCCCCGCCAGCGTCCCAGAGATTGACGTGTGCGGCCACGCCCAAGGCGGTGTCAGCTGCCCCGGTGCCGGTGCCAATGGCTACTTCTACCGCTGCTGCTCCTCGGCCGGCCACTGCGGACCCAAGAACGACATCCAGGACCAGGCCTTATACTGCGGTACCGGATGCCAGGCTGGATTCGGAAAGTGTGACAAGCAAAAGGTGCCTGCTGAGCCCACTGCCCCCAGGGGTACCGCCCAGAATGGCGAGAGCTGCGGTCCTATTGTCAACAAGAAGTGCGCTTCTGGTCTCTGCTGCTCTGGGTCCAACTTCTGCGGTACTGGCAAAGACTTCTGCGGCTCTGCCAACTGGTGCCAGAGCAAGTGGGGAAGGTGCGACTAAGTGTGTTGAGCAAGAGAAGGATACTGTATTAGAGCAAACGTATTCAGCCATCAAGCTCAGAGAATTGGGTATAGAATCAGGAAGACATATTGCTAGTTATGACGTAAAGTCATACACAATACAAAATCCATACACCCAAGCATTACGTCCATATCTCTACAGTTTACTAGCCGACTCTTCGATATTTCCCTTGTTCTCGTTTGGCTTAACCAAAGGAACAATCCCCCTCTTCACTGATTATTATCTCACAGGACAAACGCCAGTAGCGTAACAGCAGTCCTTTAAGCACTCGCCAACATGTCCCCAAGAAACATGACCACCACCGGCAATCCACCATGTCAAAGCACGCCAGGTCCTCTCGAGACGCCGAACTCGTCTTCCACGGCAACGGCACAGTCCTAAAGCCCAACCACATAACGCGATACATCTACCCCTCACTCTGCGACTACCCCCTCGGCTGTCTACGTCTCCAACCCCCCGCCAACGCCTCTTCTCGCGCGCGCCCCCAAGGCTCCGGCTCCTGGGGCCCCGACGGCCACAACTTCCTGACAACCACCAACACGCCCTCGCCGCCCACGCACCCCGCCTTTCCCAACGAAGCCGCCTTCTGCCGCTGGTCGCGCTCCCACCTGGAAAAAGAAAAGAAAAGCTCTAATCCACTTGCGCGCGCCATGGCGAGGATCTCAAAGTTCCCCGGCAACACGTTGCTCGAAAGCGGCAAGTTCCAGCTGCGGCGCGGCGAAAGCATGGTGTATGTGGTCAAGAGAACGAGCTGCGTGCTGCTGGAGGACACTGAGAAACAGGGGTTTGGCCGCGAGGAGGAGCGGTACATGGTTGAGTGTGGGAAATGGAGGGAGTGGATGCCGCCCATGATTAAAGGGTTGGAGTACGATTGTTGGTGGGTGCGGCTACATGTAAGTGTTATTATTATTATTATCATCGCTTTTTAATGCTGTATTGCCATATGCAAGTGGGTATGGTACATGAGTGAGTAGGTGCAGAGCTAATTTTGCCATTATGGAATAGAGTTTATTCCAAGCGAGTTACGACCGAGCGTTCTTCCATGCGAGAGAGCAGTTGGAAAATGTGCTTGGGATAGCGCCTCCGATTATAAAATGGTAAGTCAGCCCAGTGTTCATGATGCATTTCACTCTCTTTCTTCAGAACCAGCAAAGGTCAAGTTTTCATCAATCAAATTTTCCCTTTTCAGAGGCTTTCTTTTTCGTCATCTCATAAACAAAAGGCATCCAAGACCCGATATTGAGGCCCACGTGACCATCTACCACGACACGCCTCCCCCCGCGCAAGTAAAGTTCCTAGGCGACGCCTGTCTCGCCTGCAGTCGAACGTGGTTTACAGAAAGCGAATACGCATGTCGCTTGCCGTGTGGGCATTTTCTCTGTTTAGAATGCCTAACCACGCATATTGATAGCAGTGCTGGTATGTCTCTCTCTCTCTCTCTCTCTCTCTCTCTCTCTCTCTCTCTCTTTCTCTCTCTCTCCATTGCACCTCGAACCCTATCCTACCTCTCTACAACTCACTCACACAATACACAGGCCGCGGCAAACTGCAACCCAACGAGGCAGACCCGCTCACAAAATTCTTCCGCTGCATGCACTGCAAGACGCTGATCCCGCACACCATCGACCGCACGATGACGCTGCTCCCGCGCGAACTCAATTTCTGGCGCTGGAAAATCAGCATGCGGCGCCTGGAAAAAGAAGCAACAGAGTACTGGCTTGTGCGCCTGCAATCCCTGCCTCACAGCGGCTGGTTCCCCGATATACCGCCCGACTGGGACGCCGACCGCCAGGCACGCTGTATCCGCGTCTACGTGCGGTATGCCGACGCGGTAGCCTTCATGGAGCAGGTTCCGATCAAAGTGTGGAGTATGCTTCCATATGGATTTCGCCTCGACAATCCCGTCGAGTCCGTGGAAGCGCGTGCGCTGCATGATGCGTTGAAAACCGCACTCCGGGCGCTATCGATCAGCAGGAAGACGTTCAATACAAAGGAAATAATGGAGCACATGCTGCGTGTGGGCAAGACAGCACTCAAGCCTGTAGTCGTGCAGGATGCAAGCGCGCGGCTGGGTAATCCCGTCACGCCGCCCGGGTACGAGGCGTATCGCGATTTTCTGTGTGAGTGGACGGCGAGGGGCGTCTTCATGTGTCCGGTGGGCAGGATGGATCTATTGGAGTTTATGCATAAGATGGAGGTGAATGCCGAGACGGCTTGGTGGAAGGATGAGAGGGATGTGTTTTTTGATCCGTAGGTGGGGGGCTCCAGACTTGTTTGTTTGGCGGCTTTCAGCAAGGAGTGAATGTGAATGTGAAAGTGAAAGTGATAAAGAGCCTAGCAAACACGTCCACACAAAACAACTATTTTTTTTTCTCTTCTCAAATACAACTTCGTCTTGTTCGGATTTCTCTACCTTGTCCACCCACACCCCCAATCAACTCCACTCCACCATGGGCAACGCAGTCTCGAACTTCGTCCAGAAAGCCGTCGAAGCTGTCAAAAATACCGTGTCAGACATGTTCCGCAGCATCGCGCCCCCAATTGTCCGCTACGTCGTCGAGCATCCGATTCGCACTCTTGGCCATGTAGGCAGTGCTGCTCTCCTCGTGGCCCCTGGCATCATTACGGCCCCGTTGCTGGCTGTCGCTGGTTTCACGGGAAGCGGGGTTGCGGCAGGATCGCTTGCTGCTGCCGTACAATCGGGCCTGGGAACTGTGTCTGCAGGAAGTACCTTTGCCGTCTTGCAGTCAGCTGCGGTGAGTGTTGATCACATGGTGTTATGACATCTGGTTAATCGGAATAGATGGGCGGGTATGGCGCCGGCACAGTCGCGGCGGTTGCAGGAGGCACTGCTGTTGCAGCTGAAGCTGTAGGAGCTGCTGCTCGCGCGGGCGGAAGAAAATAAAGAGTAGCATACGTTCACACACAAACAGACTGTTTGGAAGCATCTATGGGAAGGTTTGGATCGCGTCACAGGACTATGATTCGACATGTATAGTCTTTCCATCGCAGTGGAACCTTGAGTCCTCAGTAAATTCATCATACCACTACCTAATATAGCGGGGAAAGTTTTCCCAGGTCTCAACCCAGAACATACTATGCTATCATACATCGTGAAGCCCACAATAGAGCCGATTAGAAGAAATCATAAGACACCATGATACCAATCAACTTAGTTGCCGACTTGGATGGCATAGCCGCCGTCCACAGTGACCGTCTGACCGTTGAGGTACTGGCAGCCCACTGCAAACAGAATAGCAGCAGCCATGTCCTGGTCTTTTCCAGGTCGCTGGGCAGGAAGACCCTCCTTGTGCTCTTTGGGCATCTCGCTCTTCTGGTTGTCATCCCTGCTTTCCTGGGTAGTCATTTCCGAAGGAAAGACACCCGGGGCAATTGAATTGACACGAACTTTGACTGCAATGTGTTAGTCTCTCGTGAGTCAAGTCTCGTGCCCAATGTGACTTACTGCCGTTCTTCGCAATCTCAGAAGCAAGCATCTTGTTCAGATGAACAGCGGCACCTTTGCTGCTGTTGTAGGCAAAGTGGCCTTGTGAGATGCGAATGTGTCCTGAGATGGAGGTGATGTTGATAATGGTTCCGGAGTAGTCCTTGTGAATCTCTGTCGACTTCTGGAGGAGGGGGAGGAAGGCTGTGCTCATGAGGAAGGGTCCAACAACATTGGTTTGGTAGACGTCGAGCCATTCCTTTTCAGTAGTACCGTCAAAGAGCTTGTCGACTAGCTCTTCTGAGCTTCCCTTGACTTCAGTCTTGCCTGGTGCAATTCCAGCATTGTTGACTAGGACACAGAGGCACTTCTCCTTCGACTCAATCTCCTTCTTGATCTTGCTGTATCCAGTTAGTACTGAGAAATTACACAACAACTAGTAATACTCACGATACACCCTCCTTGGTACTGACGTCTCCAACGATTGGGATGATTTGGCCTGCAATGTCTTGTCCATGCGCCTCGACAACCTTCTCAAGCTTCTTTTCCGTCCGACCGACAATGTACACCTTCATGCCATTGACAGCCAGAGTCTGAGTAATCATGAGGCCGATTCCGGATCCTCCTCCAGTAACCAGAGCAATCTTGTCCTTGACATCAAAGACCTTGCCCATCTGGAGCTCAGGGTTGTTGGAAGGAGGCATGTTTGCGTAGTTGCGTCGCTGGATGTGCCGTTGAAATTGAGTTGAGATTTGCTTTGTGCGTTCAATTGGTTGTATGAAGTTTTGATTCGTTGTGAGTAAGGTGAAATGGCGTGGTGCTGAAATGGTGATATAGCGGGCAAACTGGTGTGCCCTGACGTCACGGTGTGAGCACCGCGAAGCAAAACGCGTCAATGTGACGTGCGGAGCTTGAAGTGACATTGCAGAACAACTCGACATCAAATTGATGGAGATCTAGACATGAATTGAATGAAAGTGGCGAATCAAATAGGAGTGGTTTGTGGTTTGAAGGAAATGCACGCAAAACGATGTTCTGGACGCACGCGTTGAGGCCTTGAAGGAAGGTCATGATGAAATCACTAGCCTGACAGATGGACCCACACGCGGTGTCACGTTTTTATCACCACTTTGCTGTAAGTGTATGTTAATTGAGCTTGCTGGACCAATGTTTCGTAGTCGCGTATCTGTAGGATTGGAGGTGTGCTGTCACCGTTGTCCCTGCTCTTTGACGAAGGTGTTAATTATGCATATATTTCAATCATAACATTTTATCAACAACTCAGTGACCTATAGTTTTATTAGGATATGGCCTAGCAACGAGAATGCCGTGCCAAAAAATAGAGGAAAACTTTTACCTGCCTGCTACTAAATCAAGACGGCACATTTCTGATGACAGAGACCAAGATAAAATGGTAAAGGCTTTGTAGAGCAGGATTTCATCCAAGTCCTGTACATACTCTGGCCTTCAGCAGGACGTTGCTAATCTCAAGGTGCTCTCCCCACTCGTTACCATGTTTAACAAGACCAGGGAATGCGCAGAAGAGGAATGTCCGGTCCGTCTTCATGCTGGAGTCGTCGTCCATGGTAGGGTCGACATCGTTAATAGCTTCCATTGTACGGTCATCAAAACACATTGTCTTTTCCTGGTTGCGGAAGAAGAGCAACTGGTATTGCGCTTTTTGAAGGGCGAGCGTTCGCTGCAGATCTACAGCTTGCTTGAGAATCCCACTCAATCCCAATTGTGCGCTCGAGGAAACATTGATAGATGTGAGCGTGAAGAGTAGATGGCAGATGTCTCCAAGAACACGGTGGAGAGACTGCTCTCTTACTTTGGCGAAGTCTTGTTCTACTTTGCTGCACTCAAGAACCTGTATCGTAGCACGTTTCCATTCACCGTAGGCAGCACCACTATTCTGTACCTGATCTGCGAAGGACCAGAGTCCCGCCAGCGATGCTGGCAGCCCGAATAATAGGGGGCTCTCGAAAACGGACATGAGCGAGTTCGAGACGATGGCTTGATATAGGGCAAGCTTGTCCGCGCCCTGACTGCCCGCCCTGTATTGAGGATATATTGTGCGAAGAGTATCTTGTGTCTCCTTGGGAATGTTTTCAAAGTCAGGCTTGGTCCTCCTGAAATTTGAGACGGTCCATTCTCGGAAGCGATTTGCCAGCTCGGAGAAGGATGCCACAAGGTCGCTGTCTGTGGCCTGTGACTGCATCCTTGTGAGGGATGATATGCTCGACTTGAGCGAAATGATTTGCTGGAGCCTTTCTTGAGACTCTTTCTCGGCAGCATGCAGACGCAACTGTACATCCACCGACGACTCTGGTCGAGTAGAAGTCCCCTGAGCTCTGTCGGGAGACACAAGCAGCTCCTCGAGCTGTGCCACTCGACAACGTAAATTATAGTTTTGGCGCACGAGCTCTTCACTTTCGCGCTGTACGGCATCATAGGTTGTGCTCTCCCAGACATGGCTCGAGTCCTCAAGGGGCAGGTTTTCCGCATTTGAACGTGATGCATTGAGCTGCCGCCTTAAATCGTCAATGACATCCTGGTCGGCTTGTCTTTGGGTTTGCGCCTGGGCCAGCTCTTCTCTCCATGATACTTGCTCCTCCTCGGCCATGGCTAGGGCTCTTTCAAGATCGGCGATTCTCTCTGCCGGTTTTCTATCTATAGCATCGTCGCTGGGAGGTGGTGGTGCATTGTCCACATCGGGTGCATGCTGCCTGTTAGGCCCCCCGGGCGGAGTATCCTTTGGAGGCTCACCTGTACCTCCAGTCCGGGGCTTGAGCATGTCATTAAAGGGATTCCTGCGACGGCGGACTTCCTCCTTGGGCGTTTGAGGCGCAGCTACGGCGGCTTTTGGCGGGGTAGCGGCCGACTTGGAGGGCCTCGGAGACCTCGACGCCATTCTCACGCTGCGCTTCAACAAAGGCCGGTGGGAAGAGTCTAACAAGGTTAATAATAGTACAGTAGAGAGACTGCGGGTGCGGGTGCTGGGGGGGTGGAAGCTTACCAGAGCCCGCTTGGTCGGTCATGATGAAAGACCGAGCGTTCCGATTTCAGAGCCGCATCGGAATCGTCATGACTGCATGCGACTACTGTGGACAGGCTGCGCGAACTGTGGAACGATTGCACTTGACGATGTGACGACTGAGGTGCAGGCCGTGGACATGTTTAGCGACCACACGATGATCGCCGCCCCTGCACCGTCGTCTGCCTAACGCGGGCGGCCTAGGTACCGACCTCCAGGCTTCAACATGCCATGCCACGACACTGCCCAGCCCATCTCATGCCGTGTAGGCAGACACATTCGTGACACCGGCGTCTTTTGCACGCGCTGCTGTATCTCGATGAGGCTCCTGTCTGCCCCGCGTGAAGGATTGAGCCCCGCGGAGCTGCCCCACGCGCCGCCCACGCGATCCTTTCCACGCCAACCGCATCGCCACGGCCAGCGATAGAACCGCGATAGAGCAGTGGGAGCATACGATGAAAAGCACATTCCCTGCCCGAGGGAGCAGCATACCCACCACCTTCAACCCACGCACCAATGGCAGCGTGGTCGCGAGCAGCGTGCCCTTGAGCAGCACCACGGCCAGGGACAGGCTCGTGGTGGGTGTTGATTTCGGGACGACATATAGCGGTGGGTGGCACCCGAGGCCATGGCGACGGCCCGTTGTAAATGGAGGCTAAAGATTGACAGGTGTGGCGGCCGTATACAGTGCGACTCCGGACGATATTGACATCATCAAGACGTGGCCTGGAGGGAACGGTGAGCTCTTGTGCATCCAGCAATCCATATCCCACCACTCTGATATACGCCCACAGGCATTACCTCTGACAAGGTGCCTACCGAGATTGGCTACAGCGAGCCTTCCGCACAAGATGGCTCGACTTCGTCGCCCAAGACGCCTACAAGGCCCGCGCAAAACATCAAATGGGGCTTCCAGTTCAAGCCAGAAGAGACGCGTCTGCGGTGCATAAAGCTCTTCCTCGACCGGAACCAGAAGCTCCCCCACTTTGTATCGCCGCTGGAGACGGCGGCGCAGCTGCGCAAGTACGACAAGACGGTCACGGAAGCAGCCTCGGACTACCTCTCGCAGATCTACAAGCATACCATGGAGACATTGAGCAGGAGATATGGCGAGACATTCATCAGCCTGACCAAAGTCGAGTTCGTCTTGACTGTGCCCGCCGTGTGGTCAGATTCGGCCAAGGATGCGACGCTCAAGGCGGCCGAGAAGGCTGGCATGGGCAAGAGACACGAGTTGAAGCTCATATCCGAGCCTGAAGCTGCTGCGGTATACACGCTGAAAGCCATACAGCCCAACCACCTCAAGGTTGGCGACAACTTCATCGTGTGCGATGCTGGAGGAGGCACAGTCGATCTGATCGCCTACAAGATCATCCAGCTATCCCCTCTGCGCGTCGAAGAATCAGCAGTCGGTACCGGTGGTCTTTGTGGCTCTACCTTTATCAACTACCGCTTTGAGGAGCACGTCAAGCAACGCATCGGGGCCGAGCGGTACACGTGGATGCGTGAAAAGAAGGCCAAAACGTGGAACATGGGCTCCAAGTACTTTGAGGAATTCGTCAAGCGCAACTTCAACGAGGAGGAACACAACGAAGTCAACATTCCCTTTCCAGGCCTTCCGGATGATGAAGAAGCGGGGCTGGACTCTGGCTTCCTTGTCATGAGCGCTGAGCAAGTCAAGGACTTGTTTGACCCTGTTGTCGAGGAGGTGATACATTTGGTAGAGGGCCAGGTGGAGAGTATAAGAGAAAAGGGAGGCCTGGTATGCGGCATCGTGCTAGTTGGCGGCTTTGGGCAGAGCAACTACCTTTATGGTCGGATGAAGTCACACTTTAACAGCGCGCCGCCGCCACCGTATACCGAGAGACCGACTCATATTGTCGCGATTGACGCGCCACAATCCATTGAGATATACCAACCCATACACGCCTGGACAGCCGTTGTGCGGGGCGCTGTGCTAAGGGGCTTGGAGGGCAACATGGCCATCAGCCGCCGGAGCCGCTGGCATTACGGCACAAGCTACGCAACTGTTTTCGACGAAGCCAAACACCCCATCTCTGACCGCTACTGGAGTCTGCTCTGGGAACGCTGGATGGTGTCCGATCGAATGCAATGGCACATTGCAAAGGTAGTTGACACATTCTTACTGGATACCCGGCCGTGAACTGACACATGAACCCAGGGTGCCCAAGTGTCTGAATCCCGTCCTATCTCCTTTCACTACACGCGCAACTTCCGCCCCGGGCAGTCACTCGTCGTAGGAGACGACCTCATTGCGTGCGACGCAGACGTGGCACCTGACTCCCACACCAAAGGGCTAATCAAGGTGTGCACGCTGACGACTGATTTGAATACGGTGCCCAAAAGCCTATTTACGCGCCTGACCACGACAAAGGGTGTAGAGTTTGACAACCTGGACTTTACGCTCGACATGCGCTGTGAGAGTGCGGGCCTGGTGTTCGAGCTCAAGGTTGATGGCGTGAGATATGGAGGTGTATCTGCAAAGTTTCATTGATGACGTGGGGGGTGAGGGAAAGAACATTCTGGGCGGAAGAATTAGGTAAATACACTTTTGCTAGTGTTTGCCCCATGATGCTGGACCTTGGCTTTTTTTTTGGAGGGGGGGGGGTCTTAGCAAAATGTAAGATATAGCTTGGTATCTGCTTTTTTTTTTGAAACTAAGTCCCAAAGTAATAGCACCTACATATGTGTCTCCATCTAAAACCGGAGGCTATTTTTATCGATCCTTGCTCGCACATGGGGAAACCTTAGTTAGTACTATACGATGTAAGACGACACAAGCACACCCCATGTGCGTTATCGGTGGGTTCAATTTTTTTTTCCCTAACTAAAAGTAAGCCCCATGTTCCATGTCCGTCGCCGGGGCTAAGTCGTGTCTGTAAAGAAGCCTTTTTTTTTTGCACAGGTCACGCGAAGAGTGGTGGGATTACCCTTTGCTTCTTCTTCTTCTTCTGCTTTTTTCTTTCTCTGTTGCTTCGTAGGGCTCCCTGCACCTCCTTGGCGATGACGACTAAGCTTAGCAAATATGTAAGCTAACTAGTAAGTAAGTAGTTTGTGTGTGTGTGTGTGTGTGCCCTTGATTCATGTTGGACATGGCTCCTGGATAACTTTTACCATTTTTTTTCTTCTTCTTTCGCTCTCGGTTTTCTCTCTTTATGTGAGATTTGGTGATGTGAGATGTTCGCGCTTCACAGCATGCATGATCCCTTCTGCAATGCATGCATGCAAGCAAGCAAGAAAGGGGAAATGATCGGTCGTATACCGAAGTACGCACGTGGCTGATTTTTTTTACTCATCCTTCTGTTTCATGCCTCGGCGGATAATGGCGTTTACCGTATCATGCTTACCGGCCCTGTTTCTTGTTTGTTCCCTTGTTGGTGGGTTGGCTTACTTGATATTGTCTCTCTCTCTCTCTGTCTGTCTCTGACTTGGGGGCAAGGGGAGGGTAGGGGTAGGGGGGTGGGGGTGTGGGTGTGTGTGTGGCTCTCTCCCCGCAATGTACGCTAAACATAACATTACGTGATTACGTAGCAAAACCAAATTATCAATGTTTTTATATTTTCTAGTCGCCAAACGAAGCAATCAAAAGGAATACGCCAAGAAGCATCCACACAGAAGGAGAAGAACATTCGATACATATATTAAGGGCAATATACATCCATATTACAGCATTGCTATTGCACTAAAGTGTCCAGGGCGGGCGGACGGACGGACACATACCAACATACACACAGACACGGTCCTTAAATCCCTAAATAATAGTGTGGGTGGGTGAACGTGCAACGGAGCCCGTATGCACAGGACGCAAACACCGAAAAAAAAATGAGAGAGAAGATATTATCATCAGACATAGAGAGTATCGTGCTTTCACGTGGAAAAATAAACCCATTCGCCCAAACTGCCCACTCCCGACGCCCACTCCCCCCACCCCACACACACACACGCACCCCCAAGCTTTCAGTCTAGGCCTCGCAGGGCCCGGAGCAGACCTCATGGATCCAAATCACTCGATAACGTGAAGCACACACTTACCCTTTGCCCCCAGAACCTTATTCTCATAAGCACTTGATCAGATTGTCGCCGAAACCCGCCCTTTTTCTTTCGCATTCGCATTGCAGACGCAAAACGAACACGAAAGATGCAACTTTAGGCGACTGAAGTTCGGCCATGGCGATGGAGGGGTTTGCCAGACAGATCAGAACAGGTAGGATAGACAGCCCATCACCGTCGTTGGGGAGCCCAGCACCCGCCGTCGGCGCCGTCGCCGTGCGCCCGCCGCCGCGCTGCACTCTCCGAGCTTACACATAACCAAGCTTCTTACCTTTTAGCAGACCCTGATGTTGGATAACGATAGCCCGGCCGCCTATCTGCGCCCTCTGTGCCTCTCTGTGCCCCTCTCTCTGTCTGTCTGTCTATCTCTCTCTTTGAGTGTGTG